CAGATGGGTGTCGTAGTCACAAGTGCACTGTACTGTGAAACTCCTGGCCATCAGTGGTGAGTGATATCTTAAGTGGTCCTGGAACCTCCCCTTCACCACCACTTCACCAACCCAAACCGATTCGTTTGATGACGGTCATGGACTGACATGGCATGAGGAAGCCCTCATCCGGCAGCAGACTGACAAAGGGCAAGACATTATGATATAATTCTATAACGCTCTCGTAATAATAATCACACCAGCAGAGGGGAGAGTGTGGTGAAGTTGTGGCTTCAGAATAACCCCCGTGGCTCTGGGTTTCAATCTGACCACAGACCTCTGATAGTGCATTACAGAGATATTATCACACAAGCCCACAAACTACTAAATTGTCTGGACGAAAAAGATTATGGGAGAGAAGATTGTTTTCATTTCAGTTTTCAATATATTGTTAGATTAGGTCGCTGCTCAAACATAATGTAAACAAGTAGATTTCCTTGTTTTTCACTTGCACAATACTGTCAGTTACGAGACTATTCATCAAGGTTAAAAAACTACTATACACCCGGCGAATACTGCTAACTGTCGTAGTAGCATTAGAGTCACTGTGGATAATATGAGTAATAAAATAGAAAACTAACAAAATATCTCCATAAATCTGTCCCTCCGCAAAACAAACTTTAACATTTCCTGCCAACCACAATGCCTTCTAGACATGTGTGTATATATATAAAATTCAGCAGCATTGCTTCCACACAAATTATGCACTTACTGTACAGGTTTCGTCGTTGACAGGAAGTGTAAAAAAGTACTTATTTACGCGAAGGGACAGACATGAATAAGATATTTTGTCTGCTTAATTCATTGCTGTAGTAGCAGATGAAGGCCTCCCCAATCAGTGAAAAATCACTGCGGTTAGTTGACCACACTTCACGCTGTTCGGTGCAAGTTGTAGGCGAGTAGCCAAGACTGTGGGGGGCACATAAGTACAATACAACAATACCCTCCGATGCAGACTACGTAGCCACGCAGCAGCCTGTGACAACATCTTAAGGTGCAAGACGATGACCCTCCCCAAAGTGCTATCCAGGCTCAACCCTCCTCATTAGCTTCTGATGTCTGATGAGATGGGACACATTCCGGCTGATTTGGTCATAGGCGACGCGGTATACACCGTATTCTTGGTTCTTTCGGTAAAGTCACGTAGAGGGGAAATAATAAAATAAAAATTCAACATAATAAAATTTAATTCTCACGACGTTTCGGCCACAATGCAAGAAGCAGCTCTGTTTCTTCACCTGAGGACGGCTGCTTGCGTTGTGGCCGAAATGTCGTGAGAATTTTATTGTTTTATTTTTATTATTTTATTATTTCCCTTCTACGTGACTTTACCGAAAGAACCAAGAATATGAATCCCTGCAGTCACGCAATCTTTACATCTAAAGGTATACACCGTGTTACACATACTTCTGCCATAAATAATTCTCGGGATGTTATAGAATTCAGACGCTGCATTACTCACATTTGAAATTGTGAGAATATGCCAGGGCACATTGTGTGCCTGTTTCGGTGTAACAACAATCCAAGGTGATTCTCAGCTCAAAGCATGCTGGAGGCGCTCACGTGTCAAGAGTCCTGAGTCAGTGGCGTACATTCCACGTTTCTATGGTAAGAGAGACGTATTCCACACGGGCAATCACCGTTGATTTATCCACCGGACATTAAAGCATAGCCGAGTGCGTTTCGTATAGCCTCTGCTGCTTACACCACGACATGGTGGTTAAATACCCGGCTCGTGTTTAACGCAAATCAGGGAGGCATCACGGCCAATTCATTTTTCTCAAGCGCAGGGCCACATGATTAACACACACACAGTACTATCGTGTATAATACAGTACAGGTTCGTGCACAGATAGGTGATCTACCATAGAGTCCGCAGGTCTAGGTGGTGGACAGCAGAGGGCAGTACAGGAACATCAGCTGTTGTACTGTATTCATACGCTCCCACGTATCTGTTCGCCGTCTTCACCAACCCGCAATGACCGTCGTGGTTTCAGTTTTCAGTTCATGTATTAGGTATAGCCCTGTGAGCCATTCGGCTCTTGAATGGTGAAGTTATTTAAATAACCCCCACGACCCACAACGGCATGAGGCTCTCATCCAGCAGCAGTTGACAAACGAAACGTAAATGCTTAGTAGCAGGACATTCATAGTACAAACACAGTCTTTGCCTGTACACAGTGCGGCAACAATGTTATAATCGCATAGCAAGTCACACGTGGCTTGTCATTGTAGGGCAGCCCCGTTATTAATCCACTGTTCAAGGCCCACCCCAACACCGGGGTTGTGTCAAGACCGCGTTCACCAACACAATGATTTATTCTTTGGTTCTGTCGGTAAAGTCACGAATAAAGAGAACATAATAAATTAAATAATGCTCTTATGCTATTACCTAATTTATTATTTTCTACTCTTACGTTTTTTCAGTAAAGTTACGTAGGTAAATTTATTATTTTAATTATTATTTCTATTATTTATTTTTTTACCTACGTGACTTTACCGAAAAAACCTAAGAGTAGAAAATAATAAATTAAGCATTAGCATTCTTTAATTTATTATTTTCTCTTTTTACGAATCCTTGCAGTCACGAAAGCTCCAAATTAACACTGATGTGTATATATAGCACAGCAACGTATTGTTCTGCACTCCCTCCCCCCGCCGTCCTCCGCCCGGCCACAGCACCGTGGAATTTCCACCACCGGCTTCAGCGGCCGAGCGAGAACCCCGACGGCGACACCGCGATGACACCCGCCGCCTGTTAACAACGCCACGGCAGATCGCCTCCGTGCTTGAGGCAAAGCCGTGATGTGTTAAGAGGCCTCCATCACCACCACCACCACCCTGTGTGTGTGAGGTGTGTGTGAGTGAGCTCAGAGCGAGAGGGTAAAGAGAGACGATTTACTCGATTTCCTTCTCTTCACTTGCTCCCCACCCACCCCCCTTCGCTCGTCACCTCGGCCGCGTCTCCCGGACGAGGCTCAGCTCCTTCGATCTCTTATTCTCCTCCGATTCTCAACGCGATGTGTGAGCTTCCCACCGCTCCCTCCGCTGCGTCCGCTCCGTGCGCGACCGACAAGGAGCGGCGGCGGGGGGGGGGGCAGCAGCTGCTGTGCTGGGGGGGGCGTGGGGACCGGGAGGCGGGATGCGTTTCCCTGATAGAAACCGCCCCCAGGGCACAAATCGCCAGTTGCGTTGCGAGGAGAGGGATGGTGTCAAGCATTAAGAATGCGCCCTGAGGGCGTCTTGCGCGTGAGAAACTTAGCCGGGGCTGAACCGGCATCGGGGTGGGGGGGGAGAGGAGGGTGACCCGCCCCCAGAGGGGGAGGAGCCTCGTCCCACCCGTGACGTCACAAAAGCGCGACCGCGTGGATTGACGGCGGCCATCTTAGGCAGGGACGGCCTGGACCCGCCAATGCGGTGCCCCCCCCCCCAACGCGCCCGCCCCTAAAGTGGTGCCCCCCAAAGCGGTGCCCCCCCCAAACGGTGCCCCCCCCCAACGCGCCCCCCCAAAGCGGTGCCCCCCCCCAATGCGCCCCCCCCTAAAGTGGTGCCCCCCAAAGCGGTGCCCCCCCCCATGCGGAGCCCCTACCCCCCCAACGCGGTGGCCCCTGCACGGTGGGGGTGGTCGCTTGTGGCCTTACGATTCAGAATCGGAATCTTTATTTAGAGCGGAGAAGGAGGAATCCGATGAGCTATGAAGCTCTTTGCCCCCCCCCCCCCCCCACACAGATGTGCAGTGGTAAATGGAGACAGCGTCAGAGCCTTGACAAAGAAACCTCTGGGGGTCATTGTCCATCTGTCCGCCGCTGTGGTTCGCCGAATGCCTTCTGTTTACGTGACAAACATCACTGATTGGCTGTGTCGAGTGGTGGTGAGTTAACGACACAAATTTACGAGATACAAACCCCCCCCCCCAAAAAAATTATAGTTCTATTATGATGTTTTTTTTCTCTCGTTTAACCACCGATGTGATTCTTGTTGGCACGAAGCCTAGATAAGTTGGTCCTCGCAGTGTGGATGTGGGGGGGGGGGGTCTGTGCTTAGTTTAAAACGTCTTTTATTTCACCCCCCACCCCCAGCCTGCACTAAGTAGCATTCTGTAACGCACTCAGCCACTCGTCATTTACACAGAGTCCTGTGATGCTCGCCTGAACAAAAACACAAATAGAGAAACAATCACGCCTCATGCTCTTTGGTTTTTTAGGTAAAGTCACGTAGGTAAAAATAAAAATAAATAATAATAAAAATATTTAAATTATAATAGAAATAAAATAATAAATCACGACGTTTCAGAGGCAACACAAGTCTCCGTCATCAGGTGGGACCGTCAATCACCCCCCAACCCACCAACCCCCCCCACCTACCAACCCCCCCACCCACCAATCCCCACCCAACCCCCACCAACCCACCAACCCCCCCCCACCCACCAACCCCCCCACCCACCCACCAACCCCCCCACCCACCAACCCCCCCACCAACCTCCCCCACCCCCCCAACCCACCAACCCCCCCCACCCACCAACCTCCCCCACCCACCAACCCCCCCCACCCACCAACCCCCCCACCAACCAACCCCCCCCACCCACCAACCCCCCCCCACCCACCAACCCCCACCAACCCACCAACCCCCCCCACCCACCAACCCACCACCCCCCCACCCACCCACCAACCCACCAACCTCCCCCACCCCCCCCACCCACCAACCCACCAACCCCCCCACCCACCCACCAACCCCCCCACCAACCTCCCCCACCCCCCTCACCCACCCCCCTCACCCACCCCCCCCACCCACCCCCCCCACCCACCACCCCCCCCACCCACCAACCCCCCCCACCCACCAACCCCCCCCACCCCCCATGAACGAGCCTCGGTTCTCCCCACGCAAGATGGCCACCACCACCCCCACGGCCCCCACCCTCCGCCCCTACCCCCCACCGCCCCCCCCCGCCCCCACCGAGCGAGGGGCCTGGCGCGGCATGGCGGCCTCGCTCGAGGTGTGCGCGGCCCTCGGCTCCCTCGGAGGAGGAGGAGGAGGCGGCGGCGGCGGCGTTCGAGGCGCCTCTGACGGCGGCGGAGGCGGAGGGACGGGGAGCGACCCGGGCTGTGCGGCGGGCGAAGGTGTGGGCCGAAGGGGGGCGCGGGGAGAGGCTTGCGGCCCGCTCGCTGTCCCATGTCTCGTGTGTGTGCGGTGTCTCCTTCTTGTCCACCACCACCACCACCCGCGTCGTCTCCTCCCTGTGTAGCAATGTTCTCTCTCCACTGTCTCCATTGCATTGGCCTCGTTTTGTGTCTCTCATAGTACGCTCTGCCCCCCCCTCTCTCTCTCTCATCGTCTCCCCGTGTTTCTTGCCACTCGCGTTCTCCTCACCTGTCGCGTCTCCCATGTTCCCGATCTCCATGCCTCCCTGTGTCCCAACGTTGCTCCCCTTTCTCCGTATCCCTCTCTCTTCCGCCTTATCTGGTCCTCGTCTCGATGTGTCCCCCCTGTGGCTCGTCTCGTCTCCTTTGCACCGAAATCGTTCTCTCCGTGGCCATGTCACGAATGTCAATCTAACCTCTCAATCTAACCTCTCAATCTGTCCTCTCAATCTAACCTCTCAATATAACCTCTCAATCTGACCTCTCAATCTGACCTCTCACTCTAACCTCTCAATCTAACCTCTCAATCTGACCTCTCAATCTGACCTCTCACTCTGACCTCTCACTCTGACCTCTCACTCTGACCTCTCACTCTGACCTCTCAATCTGACCTCTCAATCTAACCTCTCAATCCGTCCTCTCAATCTAACCTCTTAATCTGTCCTCTCAATCTATCACGTTCCCCTCTCTCCACGTATCAACGTATCCAATCTTAGCCGTCTCGGTTGTCTCTATCCACGGCCACCGACCGGCCTTGCCTGTCCACGTCTTCTCCTGTCTCGCTTGTTTTCCCCGTTCTCATCATGCCTCTTTGTATACAGCACACGAATCTATACTTTCTCATCACCTTTGTATTCCCATTCAATGAATGTACTCAGTAACAGGTGACGTAGTGGTTATAGCGAACGGCGGCCACTCAGAAGGTCGTGAGTTTATAATTCGCTAAAATCAACACCACTTTGTAGATTATCAACATTAGTTTTCATTTGTACTATTAACACTCCTGCTATAAGAGTGTGGAGTTTAACTCACTGACTGTAAAAAGGACACTATATTCTCACCGGGCTCATTGGAACTGGAACTCATTGACGCTTTTGACATGAAAATCATGTTAATGTGTACATTTTAAAGGTTTGTTGATTAATTTGTCAAAAGCAGCCAACACACTTCGCTTATTATGAGAGTTATTGACACTAGGGCAACTCATTACACTTCAGTGACTCAGGCAGTATCCTTTATTTAACCAGGCGATGAAATAGACGCATTGAGTCACAGGAAACAACTTTGCTTAATTATAAATCATTCTAAATACCCCGAAGATTAAACAAAATACTTACCGGAACAAATCTGGCCAAATTTTAATAATACATCAACTATATGTTTTAAATTATTGATATCGATCAACCAATGCCACCCAAAGTGTAGAAATGCCGTGTGTTTATTATAAAAGCCCGGCGTTCAATTTGTCCCTCAACTAAATCATGAAAGCCTTTCAGAAGACCTGAATCACAAATTTATAGAAAGTGGGCCCGCCCCCCCCCCCAAAAGAATATTTATTTTGTAGGCGTATATGCCTACACACCCTACTTACAATAGATTCAGTCGTATCTGTACACATGGGGGGGGGGGGGGAGAAAAGATCAGTGGAATATAACTGCACTAGACTAGTTGAGTAATGTATTCGGCTGTCATGCCATCCATGAAGCACACTGGTTTTCTGTGAATAAACAATGCTGAAAAAAATACAAGTCGCCTTGAAATTCATCATATACATATCTGCGGATGTAGCACCCACTTCCTACCTCACTGTAATTGATTTAATTCAATGGAAATCTTTCAGGATTATTGATGATCGAATACTGGCCGATTCACTACCGTCACTCACTGCCAGCCAGTGACAACATAATCACCACTCTGTTATCACGAATACCGTGGTCACTGTTCCCTTCAACTTCACTCGCAGATTCCTACAGCCACGTTGACTAACTCGGTCTACTGTTTCATCTTATCCACACTGCATTTCTAAAAAACACTCCTCTTTCTGCGTCCTTTCCTTTCACTTTTCAACGTTGGAATTGCCTTCTATTATCTCTCTTCCCAAGTTATTATACAACCTTGCTCAATTCAAGAAACATTATCTCATATCCGTTTCACCGTCCAGAGTGCTGTTTTTGGTTGCTCTGCGTTTTGGGCCTTTACTTCGCAACGACATAACTATGCGCTGAGTGTGTGTGGTTGAATCCATCCCACGAGTTGAGCAATCATTGCCTCTTCTTCTCCCATATTCTAAACTGTGACTCTATTCCCCCAACCATCTGTGCTGTCTACTCGCTAATTCTGCCACAATAAATATGCACAGTGGTTTTATTATACACCACTTTGGGATATGGTCACACGTAGACGCTATAAACTCAGCATTGTATTGTGAATGTGAAGCGAAGCGAAGTTATGTTTACCGCAGCCATATTTCGGTTGAAGCTCTGGCAAAGACCTCTTACATCTGTCACCGTTTTTTTCAGAAGAGATGAAGGCGACGCAGCTCAACGCACTGATGGAGCGGCTGAGAGCCAAGCACGCCCAGCCGAGGCCCTGGGGAGACACCATCAAGATGGTGCGCCAGGCGATGGTGCGGTCACATGCCCTGACTCATCATTTAGGCTATGTTATTCTTTTTCTTAAAATGTCTTGATCTTTTGTCTCCCATGATATTACAATTGTCTTTTCATTGGCATGCTGTTGTGAGATGAAGGAATTTTAATTTTAATCTCACTTCACCACCTTGTGTCAGAGAATAGCCTCGGGACATTGTGTCACATAACTAAACCCAGGTTATTTTTGGGTGTTGAAAACCCAGATTCGAACCCAGGATATCAGTGACCCCTGATGCGCCTTGCAACCTCAATTCAGACACTTACAAGGATTCTCACCAGCGATCCTGGGTGCACTCATGGCTGTAATGATCTTGCTAGGCTGGCTGCAAATGAGTACATGAATAATTAATACGCTTTGAGCAGTGGCGCGTAACATCCTGTTGTCGTGCTTGCACGCATGTATCCAATGTGCTCTGTGCAGGAGCGCCGACCGGGCAATGACAGTCAGCAGCGTGTACTCCGGTGCCTGCAGACTGTACAAAAGGCACTCAAAGGTAAGAGTGGCTCTCTATCCCACACCACTAAATTGCACTATACCATGGAAATGTAACTCACATGGTTCTCAATCATTCTCTGTTCATGCCCTAAACACCTGGAATTCCATCACTTGAAAAATGTCCTTCTTTGAATCACAATTTTATTCTAAGCTGTCAGTTCTTTATAACTTCACTTTAAATTGCATTTGACGTCTATACTTATCTGTTGGCAAATACTTCTGAAACTAATTTTTTTTATTTGACTGATCAAGTACATTCCAGGGAATGTATTATTTAACATTGATTCATGTACGTGCAATTTTTTATATTTCTTAATCAATAGAGTTGTATTTACTCCGGTTATTATTTGCTTCATTGCTGTACTTTATTTGTATTTGCTTTTGTTACTTTTTGTGACCCAGGTCACCGTTGTAAACAAGGCTGTCCTTGTCTCTTCAGTTCCTACCTGTTTATTAACAAATGCACTTTAAGCCTGTCGGCATCGCCGTCACACAAACATGCAGGTTGATACCTCAGCAGAGTGAGTGTGTCGCTCGTGAGACAAGGGTTCGAATTTACTTCAAATGAGATCCACACCTCCGATTAACACGGTTGGCTACGTACGGCGGGAAAGCGGTTCAACATACATACAAACGTTCTAAACGTCCCGCAACAATATTTTTACAGCACTTGCAATCTTCTTAGCCGCACTAAGGTACGAGAAGGGAATATTTTTGTTATTTTGCAACAAACACATGTGTTTCAAATTTTATCACACTCTCAGGCACTTCTGTCCCAGCAAGGACCTTTTTATAGTTGGTCCACATGCACGCTATTTTTAGTGTCATTATTGGATGAGGCTGCGGCACATGTTCATGTGTGGTCCGCCACCTGTACTTCAGAGACCTCCGGAAAAGTGTTCCTCAATCCTCCTGTAAACAAAGCAAGAAGTCACGAGCTGGAATCCAATCATCTTTGTTCAGATATGAAATAACCTTCGCATTTTTTTCCCGAGTTTAATATCCTCATCATATTGATAGTAATATAGAGTGCTTTACAGAAATCAATTAAGCATGCAATAATGCGTAGATTATTTAATCAGAACTGATACTTCTGCTCATGATAAACCGGTGGAATCATACATATGAGAATAGATTCTCTGCAATGTGTTCGGTGGACGGTTGCACCGTACCTCCTATTATCACGGTTTGCTACGTATGGTGCAAAAGGAGTTCTAGAAACATACATGTGACAGGTTGTGGAGAGCTTCATCCAGTGGAAGATTAATCATGGCTGACGATTCAAAATTAAAATGATTTGGTGCTGAAACTAAACTGACATTTGTGTTATCCAGTTACATCCCACTCTGCCATGGTGAGCAGACTAGAGGTCATCGCCCGTGAGCACAGGTAACGTTCCTCACCTTTCCACAACAACAGCCCTCACCCTTGTCAGTGATACTTTGTTGTTGTTTGCGTTGTTCGATCTGCTCTCGAGTGAATATCGCTTAAGAGCCAGGGATGCAGTTCATAACGAGTGTACTATCATCGTTGCAAAACATATACTTGTCAAAATTGCCTATTCTCCAGACTCTTTCTCTCGGCATGTAATGATTCACTTGGTGGTAAAGAATTGCCAGTATTTTAATGACATATGATTTGGGGTCACGATGGAATGCAAGAATAAAATTCATAAAAAATAATTAATTTTCACACGGACAAAACAGTTATCTTATCCGGAGCGCAATGATCCATTTGAACCGTCGAGGAATGGACTTTACTGCCTGGCATCTCCTGACCTGGCCTGCGTTCTGGTTTCACATGTTTGTCACTTGTGCGATCGACCTCCATTTGACCCCCTCCCCGCCAGGCTGAGCTGGCACTGCAACCCGTCGAACTACGAGTGCTACGTGTCGTCTGACATGTTCTACATGGTGATACACGCGGACGGCGCCGGCGCCGTGGCCGACGTCAAGGTCGCGCACCACGGAGAGAACCCAGTGGTGAGCGCCCCGATCCACGCACACTTCCCTCCGCTTTAGCGGAAGCCGGGGCCAGACCCCGGCGCAGTCAGGCAAACGGCTGCATTCACACTGAATTGGAGTCCATGCTCGCGTGGAATTGTTTTTCTCCAGGTCCTCCACGTTTAGAAACACGCATTGAGATTATTTAGATTATTTTAATGCTATAAATTTCCACATGATAAGCCTCTTCGTTGAGCAATCATTTGTGGCCAGGTTGCTTCAGAAAAATAAGTTAATACCTCAAGTGGGCTTTATGTGGTAAGATAAAAAAAATAGTTTCGTTTAATTTGTATATTTTTATATTCGTTTACCTTTCCTATACTTTGCACTCATGTTCTTGTATTATTTGTTGTTGTAATGTTCTTACCCGCCCCTACTGGACATCTGTGAAAAAGAACTTTATAGGTCATCGGATTCCTCCTGCAGTATAAATACATATTCTGATTATGAATTCTGCATTCCGATGGTGCATTGTTGGTGGCGGCCTCGCGTGCCATCATCCGTGTCCAGTTTTCTCCTTGTAGGGCCGGTTTCTCTTTTGCGAGGATCTTTGGTTGAGGTGCCGGTCAGCTCTCACCCGGCGTAAACAGTTGTTGTGTTTACCTTTCCTACACTTTGCACTCCAATCGTGTTTCTGTATTTTTTGTTGTTGTAATGTTCCTACCCACCCCGACTGGACATCTGTGAAATAGAGCTTTATAGCTCATCGGATTCCTCCAGTATTGATAAATAAATATTCAGATTCTGATTACGTAAGCGTGTAACGTCATCACAACTTAAGCCTCGCTTCAGCGATATCGCGGCGTTGTGAAGTTAACGTCGCCTCCGTCTTCACGAGGTTTGAACTTTGGAACGTGTAAGTAAATCTTAAGTGACCTGGTGGCCAGTGGTGGTGAAGGTGCAGCAAATAGCAATATTGGTGTTAGGATGTCAAAGCTCGTTCTAAATGTGCTGTACCTACCTATGAGAGGAGACAGTGCCCGCAATAGGGGCTCTCTAGAGCTCCCTCAGGGAAGCCCTTCTGCCAACAGAAGCATAAGTGAAATTGCAGCACTGCTTCTTAACCTTTCCATATTCCGATATGTAGTTGTCACCAGTTATATGCAGATTATCAACAGTCAGTTGCCCTTTGACATGAGCAAGCCACTCTGCCAGCGTCAAAAAAATTATCTAAAACTAACTTCTGTTCTTGTTTCCGCCTGATTGCTGCCCTGATGCTGGGGACTCCTCTACAACCCTCTGTATATACCCAGAGCTGCCCGGGCCTTACTAAAATCCTACGGTGAGTATTTGCATGTTCATTTCCTGGAGACCGTTGCAAATATATGGGTGTGGTGTCAAATGGAAAGAAAGAGTAAAGAGGAAGTTCTAAAGCGGGTTCAAAAGGACAGACGTCTAACTGGAATAATTCAGACAAAGAAAGAGATCTGGAATGGTGATATTGTCAGAGGGGAAGGCTTTCTGAAGGATTTCTAGCCGGAAGTTAAATTGGAACAATTCCGGGTAAGCAAAAATATCTCATTGGACATATTGTCATCGGAGAAGGCTTTCTGAAAAGGTTCTATGAGGATGATGCAGATAATTCAAGAAAGGTAGAAGTTTAATAGGAGGTGAGACGTCCCAGTGGGACAATTCGGAGATGATAAGATCTGAAGTGGGTATATTGTTAGAGAGGAGGGCTTGCTGAAGGAATCTTTCGGATGAAAGATGCTGGGCAAAAGGCCAAGAGGTAGACAAGGAAAGGCGCTGCTTGAAAGCACAAGGTCGGACAGGATTGAGGGAACTTGAACCAAGAACCAGCCCTGATGCAGAGAACTCAAGAAGAGATGCATATATATATAAGTTTAAAATGTGCAATTACTCATCTGCATAACTCTGCACAATGCAAATATTATTTGGAGCGTTTTCACAGATTCAACTGCAGCTGTTTGCCAATGTGATGGGCTGTTGGAATGGACCTAGTTATCAGGACAAGCTTTAAAAATGATGTGTAGATGCACACCTATTTTCCTTTTCAATGCAAGTCGGTCCTTAACGCAAGTGCACAGCGCACAGCGATAACACTGTAACACATTTTTTATTATTTTTGTTCCGGGGTAGTAAGTGTTATTTCCTAATTGCTTATGCCTCAAAAATACAGAAAATGACTTATTCCCCACAAACTTTGCTTTTGTAACCAGGACAGTGATATTTAGAAAATTTGTGTCTTTTCATCATTCACGTAAAGTCAGAAAAAAACCCAACATGAATCTAAATTAACGTGTATTTATTCTAAAGTAATACAAAAATGACTACAAAAGATTTAGACACCAAGGCGCACTACCACAGGCGGGACTGGCCACAACAGACCGAATTCTCTGTGGGAGGAACAATCTCGAAAAACTGCTCACTTCTAAATCTTTTGTAGTAATTTTTGTATTACTTTTGAATAAATACATATTAATTTAGATTCATGTTGTTTTTTTCTGACTTTATGTGAATGATGAAAAGACACAAATTTACTCCCATTTTCTCATTGAATATAGATAAATTTCAAAATATCACTGTCCTGGTCACAAAAGCAAAGTTTGTGGGGAATAATAGCCATTTTCTATACTTTTTATGCATAAGCAATTATGAAATAACACTTACTACCCAGGAACAAACATTATGTTATATAGTGTAACGTGTCATTTTTATATCCTCAACATTGGTATTTCATTTCTTTGTCATTGCAGCGAAGGAAACTTTGAAGAGTTTTCCCAACACCTGGATGCCTTGGCCAACCTCTACAATTTACCGGGCGACAGGTACGTTTGCACACCAAATACACACATCCGATTTAATCCTCTTTGAAAACAGAAACTTAAATATTGAGAAGAACCTTATGGCCATTTTAATTCATGAATGTTTTGTCCACACTTGGGTGCAATTGCATTTGTCCATATTTTGTATGAAAATGAAACACAAGCAGTCTGGTATGTGACGATCGCCATGTCTGTTGTTATTTACTGGGCAGCCTCTTGTGCGTGTGACCGTGTGTCCTTTGTTGCAGCGATCTCAAGAACAAGATGTACCTCGCCCTGCAGTCCCTGGAGCTCGACCTGTTCAAGATGGCACAGTGGTACAAGTGGGTCTCTTCTCGACATCCACCCCAGTTTCATGCCATGCAGCAGTGCGAACGTGTGATTTCATGATGTTGTCATTTTACGATAATGTATTTGCTGCTAAAAGGCTGATCTATAATTCTTGCCGTCTAATGCACTTTGTGTGCGTTCGTACACGTGTTTATGTGATGCGTACACGTGCTTATGCGATGCGTAAACATCAGCACTGGGAAGACAAAGGCGGCCGGGTGTGGTGTTGGCCATCCACTCCCACATTTGCCTTGCCGGCGTCACAAGTCATCCGCTCACAGCTCTTGCCACAACGGCCTGTTAAATGCTCTAATGGGGGGTCTAGGTCTTTGTGGTACGGTGTACGAATATCAGCACTGGGGAGACAAAGGCAGCAGGACGTGGTGCAGACCACACCGCCCCCCTTCTTCTCTGCACAGCACTTAGAGGGGGTGGTATGGTCAGTACCACAAAACAGTCATGTTAAAGGTTAATGGGGGGGGGGGGGGGTCTTTGTGGTTAGCATGCTACAATGCATCACTTAATATCGATGTGTATGCTCATTATATACACATTGAATTGTATATATGAGAATTAATTATTTACGATGTATGCAAATTACATACATTTTAAATGCTAACGTTACATTTACCTTAATGGGCATATATAAATGTACAAGCAATACAGAACTAAAATGAATCAATATAGGCCTGTGGACAAAAACAAGACAGAAAGGAATGAATTGTTGAATAAAATTATGATCCCAAACAGTAAGAAGCCATCGAATTGTTACATGCCTATACAATGCTGGCGAATATAGATTCCAAACGATTCCATGGGTGAATCATATTCGATTCCAAATATATTGCACTGGTGCAGTGTTTATTTCTAGTCCTGTGTATGCTCACGGAAGGCTGTAATGTCCTGCGATTGTCTGATTGTGTATGTTGGTGTGCGGTCTGTGATGCTCATGTGCATGTGGTGTGATGAATCATGTCTGCATTTCATGCCAGTGATCATATCTTTGTGTGCTTTTGTGAATATTTTGTGTGTATTTACCGCATCTGTTAGCATCTTTTTATGCACGTTTCGTGCCTTGCATCTATATATGTCTACTTGTGTTTATTTATTCCTAACAAGTAACAATGTATTTTTTCTCTATTCAAAAATGGAGGATTTTTTTGTTTGTACTTTTCTTATGTTTTCAAATTTTTTATGTCTCGTTAAATCAGTAAATTTACCCCGTTAGTTTTAATGTAACGTTTGCATATCACTCCTATATCATTTGTATAAATTGTAAGTACTATAATCGATTCTTACGTGGATAAATCATTTACTCTCACCCTAATGATACTTTAAATTGTTAAGTGCCTGGCAATTTGTCTACTTGCGTACGGAGAATTCCCGAACACCTAATTACATCCTTTGAAACGGCAATCGATGAATTCTCGAAATTAATTGTGCCCAGTCTTTGCTTTGCGCTCATACGAAGGCACGCTCTTGGCCGGAGCTGGATTAAAAATCTGCCGAGCTGCTCAGTGTGGTTGACACACGCAAGGGGTCGGTGGTAGTGCTGTGCCACTGAGCCGAGACGTGTATCTGTGTGTGTGTGCGTGCGTGCACACGCGTCACGCTTTTGCTGCTCTTGTTGCTGCAGACTGGCGACGAACGCCGAAACAGTCGACGCAATCCTGCATGGCAACGTCGGATTTGTCTCTCCCAGGAGCGGCGGTGAGTGTGCCCCGATTGGCCTTGACACCATCTCACGCTCATCCACGCCTGCCCACCTCGAAACATTTCAAGTTGCACACGTTTTGTTTCGCCCCATGCTGTGTTTTTCTTAAAGGCTTTTTATATTAACTCTTAGACCATACGGTGGAACAGTGGCTCGATGGTTAGCGCGTTACATTATGAACCTTTCAAAACCTGAGGTCGATTCCTGGCCACGGCTAACACGAGTGGCGAGTAATACCTAAACTGGTCCTGGGCACTCCCTTCACCAGTGTGGTGAAACATGGTAAAAATAACCTCCCGTGAGTCCCATTGCATAGAGAGGCAATGGGACTCACGGGGGTACACTGTGAGAAAAAATCGTCTTCTTCTCGAGCTCTTTATTCCAAGTTCCGCCCAGCCAATGTTCTCTTGTGTGTTTGATCGCTGGCCAATACTGTTGCAGAAAACCTGATGACCCTCAAGTATTACGTGTCTCCCTACGACCTCCTGGATGAGAAGACGGGTGGAATGCTTACCCTCACAGATGACGATGGTCAGTACAATGTGGTTAGGATTGGCAAGGCCTCTGTAGGCTGCGCAAATATGGGGGATGTGCACCTAGGGCACTCTTTAATAGCGGTACTGTTTTGAACGTGAGTTGACTTGCATCCCACTGGGATTTTTGCACACAGTGTTGGTGTACGGTGCTTTTTCTGCAATATTTTGCTGTCTTTTCTTGGATTTTCTGTTTGCACATAGTCACTATAAGATGTATTCTTGTTCATGTTTTTGTTTTTTGCTTGTTGCGGTTGCACCCGATTCAAGAGCCGAATGGCTCACAGGGCTATACCTAATAAATGAACTTGAAACTTGATGTGTGTGTTTACTCATGTGTCAGTGTTTGTGCTTGCATATTTGTATTTCTGTTTGGGGATACTTGCGTTTGCTTTCTTGTGTATTTGTCTTTGGGTACGTTTTCATGTTTTTTGTGTCTTTATATTTCAATATGTATGTGCCCCATATTTGTGCTTTCGTACATATGTACTTGTTTGTGGATATGCATATGTCTACGCTTTTGGTTTGTAAACTCATCCATCTGTCTTTGTACGCATGTACTCGTGTTTGGATAAACACGTGCCTGTATTTGCGTTTGAGTACATGTGTGTGCTTCTGCTTGTATATGTACATGTTTGTGTTTGCATGTATGTTTCCCGGTGTCTGGGTACCTTATTTCCGTTTTCTTTGTTTTTATGTACCAGTACGCATTTCTCTGTGCATGCATCCTCAACTTCCTCTCTCCTCCCGTGCTGTAGTTCCCCGCTCGCTGGGGTTGGGCGTGACGGTGGCCGTGGAGGGAGTGAGCGGGACGCACCGGCTGCCTATCGCACCGCTCATCGTCGGCACCAGGGCCACGGACGACAAAGGGTGAGCACGTGGCACCACGCACCTCCCATCTACCCGACATTGCACCTGGGTTTCCGACACGAGGAGCAGCAGTAGTAGGTTTGAGAAATACATTATTATACAAGTGCGCTGTCACCAATTTGTCCACTAGAGGATAAAGCACTTATTTTCAACTCTGCAGCTCGCAGTGCACTATCCTGTGTGAGAGAGCGGTCCCATATGATGACATCACGTAACTATTCATGAAGTTTCTTCATTAGGCTTCTGTATGCACACTCGCGTCATGCCTTTTATACTCCCCATAAAGAGTGTGAGTTGCCTGTCAATCAAGCTGTTGCTTTGAAATTCTTCTGGCTGATAACACAGAGGCTCATTTATTGGGCATTTTATCAGCAATTAACTATAAGCTATGGATACATTGAGTGCAGAACTTGAGGCAAATTAAGTGCAAAACCAAATGTAAAACGATGGTTGTTTGTGCAATCGTCGGTGGCCAGGCTGAGACCATCAACTTGCCCCAATTGAGAATCGGGTTTAATCACTGGCATCTGGATTCGAACCAAGGACCTCAGTGGTGCCAGCCCATTGCTCCGATCCTGAGCCACCTGGTCACTCCCCAGTTTTGACCAGGGCAAGCGGTGATGCTTTCTGCACACTCAATTACTCTAGTCTACAGTTTTGGGTGTAATTGACAATAAAATGTGAAATAAATAAGCCAGAATATGGCCGTACCGTGTTAAATAAATAACCATACGTCCTATGGGCTTGTGCATTAATAACATTGCCAGGCCATTGGGTGAATGTGCCTTATGCTAGGCAGAGCTCGCTGGTGCATGCTCACAGCTCACTTAAGCGCTGAGCGTTATCACAGCCGACTAATTAATTACCTTGGCTGAACATTCCTATTCCTCTGGCAAGAACACTTGCATTATTTACCTCCAGAGCAATTTTCTAGGCCACACCTGCATGTGTATTTGTGTGTTCATGTGGCATAGTACAGTGTGATGATGACATAAAGTGTGCTCTCTCTCCTCTCCCTGCAATGCCCCCCTCACTCACATTCCCCCTCTCCTGATTTCTTTACCCCCCTGACGTGAACATCTCCCCATCGTTGCGTGCGCTGTCTTGCCCTCCTGTCTTTCTCCGATTGCTGTCCCACTTCTGTACACTCCCCTACCATTCCAATTACCTCTCCCTGCCCCGTCTCCCTTCGCACCGTGCACATCGCTTCCCCACCTTCCACCTCGTGTCTATGCGGCTCAACGTGGTGCAGAACACCGCAGTTCGCGAGCGTCTCGCAGGCCAACAGCGTCGAGCTGCCCGGCTGCTTCTTCCTGAAGTTCCCGTCGCCCGTGCCAGTTTCTGAGGCCACCGTGAAGCAGCTGCAGTTGCTCACAGGTCCACACTGCAGACACACGGCACCGCACCCGAGACACCGTACCCAAGATCGATGCTGCGTTTCGGCAGTGCTGGGGGTATTACACTTGAATTCCTCTTATCCGAGGCTGCATTATACGATAATCTGATTAATGTGTGGCCTGCCAAACGTATTTTAAAGTACATTTTTGTCCTTGAGGAAAAGGTTCCCCAACCCTGGATAAAGTCAATCTAATATCCACAAATCAACGGATAACCTTGTTGATAAAAGGAGTAATTTTCACAAATAAACTTGGAAAATCGATTTCGCTACCAGTGCCCTTCCCACATCAGCTTGGACGAGAAACAGTTTATTGAAATTTAACAGAGTACGAATTCCCCTCTCGTCACGGAGGTAACTGACCCTGCCCTCGGTCCATCGCAGGTGTGAACGTGGACCCCGTTGGGGAGAGGGACCACATGTTTGTGCTCATCCGCCGCTGTGCACTCGACAAGCTGCCCAGCGGCGGCAGCACCGCCGACTCGATTGCGAACGGCGGCGCAGGAGATGCCAGCTACCACACCGTGGTGAGTCTCACCGCACGTCCCCGGTACACGTGGGCCCCGGTGGGGTACGTGGGACACGGCCAACCGCCCACCTAGCACTTTGATAGGAGACCACTTCGCACTTGCAGAATGATTTTGATTAGTGTATGAACAACCCAAAATAAGTGGACAAAAAAAGAGAATAGTCACAGGCACAGTTTAGCTTTTCAACTTTGTTTATTCTTGATTGTTGCGTGCATCGTTTTTACCGCATCATTTTTTCTGGCACCTAGAGATGCACTGCATGGGATGCGCGGCCTAAATAATGCATGATAATTCTGATGTGCATTTTCTTTCCAACATTGATTTAGTTTCGGTTCGATCGTTTTTCCCCTCTGTGAAGACGCTGCCAGACCAGAAACACAACTACTTCCTGAACGTGGGGATGGAGGGAGCCACGGCGACGGCAGACCTTGGCGGGGTAGCGGGCCCTGAGACGCGGGGGGTCCTGGTCGCCAAGATCCCCTTCGTTCACCCGAGCCAGGTCCCCGCCGTGCTGGCGGCAGTGCGGCGCCAGGCGCTCTACAACGCGCTGCTCGCGTCCTGCATGCGCGGGGACGCCGCGCCCCGCTGTGGAGGTGAGCGAGCGGGTTAGCGGGTTTGGGCGTGTGTGTGTGTTCCACAGTTCACACCCGCCGCTTCTGATTGAATCGGCGTCATTCCATCCGTATGAGGCAGCACGGCAGTATAGGTTCGCAAAGCCATTGTCGGTGAGTTTAATTGTGGCTTGTATTTACGTTGTGGTTCGCACACTGAACTTGGAACCCGAGTGCCCTTCCTGGCTACTGTGGCGAGTGATATCTGAATCGGTTGTGGACCCCCCCCCCCACCCCGTCCTCCACAAACCTGCAATTCACCAGCGTGGTGAAGTATGGTCAAGCAACCCCCATGTGGATGGAAGGTGGCTGACGGTGACGCTTACACTTGCTTTTTTTTTTCTCCCCAGAAGAGTTGTCGGGGCGGATCCAGTTTGAGGTGAACCCACTCACCCATGCGTCCTTCACCGTCTCCTTCCAGCACCCCAAGCATGACACGCTGCTCAGCGGTGAGTCCCACCCTTCCTCGCCCGCACCGCCCCCCTCATTTATCATATCCAGGTTGCTTCTCACAAAATAAGCGAATAGCCCAGTGTGCTTTTCCTGGTAAGATAATAAATTATTTAAAAAAAGTGTTTTAAAAACAACGGTTTTATTCACAACTTCGTTTAACTCACGGTCGAGAAGTACGTCAATGATGCGGCGCCTGCTTAATTGAATTAATTGATTTTACTTTATAAATGAATCTTCAATGTACAACTTTTGTTTGTGTGGAGTGAGGGTGCCCGTGACACGTGGCGCATGAGAGAGACACGTGGCGCATGAGAGAGACACGTGGCGCATGAGAGAGACACGTGGCGCATGAGAGAGACACGTGGCGCATGAGAGAGACACGTGGCGCATGAGAGAGACACGTGGCGCATGAGAGAGACACGTGGCGCATGAGAGAGACACGTGGCGCATGAGAGAGACACGTGGCGCATGAGAGAGACACGTGGCGCATGAGAGAGACACGTGGCGCATGAGAGAGACACGTGGCGCATGAGAGAGACACGTGGCGCATGAGAGAGACACGTGGCGCATGAGAGAGACACGTGGCGCATGAGAGAGACACGTGGCGCATGAGAGAGACACGTGGCGCATGAGAGAGACACGTGGCGCATGAGAGAGACACGTGGCGCATGAGAGAGACACGTGGCGCATGAGAGAGACACGTGGCGCCTGCTTCTTGGGCGAGGCGATTCGAGAGCTTAGGGAACGCGGCGTTTTTGACCTACACAAAAAATATATAATTAATAAGGCGTCCATACAAAAAAATTTCATCGCTTTAAAGGAGCAAATTAATTGATTGTCGCCGGATCTGAGTACATGTGCAAAATTTGGAATTGATTGGACAACAGGAAGTAGACTAAATTTTGATTACAAGATTTGACCACGACACAGGAGTCAAGTTTTATTTGTAATATTTGAAGTGATTTGTTTACCTTTGCTATACTCCTATCATGTTTTTGTATTGTTCGCTGGTGTAACTTTCTTACCCGCCCTTACTGGACATCTGTGAAAAAGAGCTTTATAGCTCATTGGATGTTCCAATATAAATAAAGATTTTGCATTCCGAGGGTGCATTGCTGGTGGCGGCCTCACGTGCCACCCATTTGTGTCCAGTTTTGTCCTCGCAAGGCAGGCTTCTCTTTTGCGCGAGGATCCTTGGTTGAAGTGCCCGGTGGGCTTTCACCCGGTATGAACAGAGTTGATGTGGTGTCGCGCGTGTGTGTGTGGCGGCTGGAACGGCTGCAGTGCTCGTTGAGGTGTCCGAAGAGGCGCAGGTCAGCGCCAAGCTGTTCACCAGCCCCGCCGATGGGCCCTTCTGCACTGACGACTACCTCTCCCGTGTGGTGCAGCGGTAAGCGCCTTCCTGTGTCGCTGCACCCTCTTGTTGTCATCATCATCGTCAGCCATGATAAATCCATTGCTAGATGAAGGCCTCCCCAGCCGTCGCGATTCCTTATTGGATGCGTTCCCTCATTTGGCTGTCACTCAGTTGGAGCCAAACCCGCTGGGCTTTGATATAGCCAGTAGATGGCAGTACAAGAAATACATGTAGCGGATTCATGTGTTGCCGTTTTTTGTGCGTGGTGCTCCGGTTTCCTCCGACGTGCAAAATATTTCTGAGAAAGGAATTTTCCAAATATCCCAATGCAGTAGTCCCCGGAAACAAAAAAATCTTAAAACTCATTGAGGCTTTCGTGGATAAATAATAGGCATTCAAATAAGGGTGGCTGTGATCTGGCGATACTACAAAGTGTTGTACGATATAAATCAATGATCATCAGATCTTTTTTGTAGCAAAACATTGTGATTATTGGTCAAGTAATGGTTAGTCACACTGGAAGTACAGCAAAGTGCAAAAACAGTGAAATTAAAATTCAACGCACATATACAACAATATACGAAACTGTTGTGAAAACTGATATTGTATAACTTTACGTAGTGAAAAATTATATCGCGGCAGCCCTAATTATTATCACTACTCAACAGCTGGGCATCCAACACCCCTCTAACCTTATGCCGGCTTATGTGTTAAGTTACCGCGATTACACAGTGTCCATCTCCGTTCCCCCTCCGCCTCTCCCCATTCCCACGCCAGCTGCGCGTCGCTCCCCGTGACGATGCGCGCCGTCTACAAGAAAGCGGAGACGGCCCCCGTGAACCCCGCGCGGCCCAGCAACACGGCGGAGACGCGGCGCGCTCTCGCCGCCCTCGCCTCCAACCTCGACGCCACCCTCGAGGAGTTGCACCGCAGCCACCCCGCGGCGGCGGCGGCGACGGCGGCGCCACCCGCCGACGCGCAGCGCCACCATCACCAGCAGCAGCGGGCGCATCTCACGGCGGCCGCCGCCTTCGCGCAGGCGCAGGACGGCCTGGGCGGCACTGCGTACGGCGACGGGCAGGCCGCCGGCACCGCGGCTGGCCTCTCGTCGTCGGCGGCGGCGCAGCAGCACGGCGCGGGCCTCTCCTCCCCGGCCGCCGCGGCCTTCTCGGTGGGGAACCTGGGCGGTGCGTCCCACCACCTCGACTCGGAGTTCTGCAAGGTGGCGCAGAATCCCATCCTCACCAGTCTGCTGATTCCGGGCGCGCACGGCAGCGGCGGTGGTGGCGCCGGCGTGACCGTGTCGGGCGGCTCTTTGGGGCCGCCCGGCGCGGGTGGCCCAGCCCCACAGACGCCGACGACGCCGGTGACCCCGACGGCGCTAGCATCGCCATCCAGCACCAAAGCGCATCCCATGCTTATGACACTGCTGCGCGACTCGCCCGCCGGGGAGGGGTCCACCTTGCTACTCGCGGCGCCTGCGTCTGCGCCGTCCTCGTCCGCGGCCTCGTCCACGATGGCGACGTCCGTGATGTATGGGGGTGGCGGTGGAGGAGCAGGAGGTGGGCAGATGCACCACCACGGCCAGCTGCATCAGCACGCGCCTTACCACCACCATCACCACCAACAGCAGCACCACCACCATCACCACGGTGGTGGTGCTGGTGGCATGGGGGTGGACTCGTCATCCCCGCCGCTGCACTGGAAGCCGCGCAAGAAGAAGCGTTCGTCTAAGTCTCCGCGCGACCCGCAGAGCGAGGACGAGTTCCAGAAGGAGCTGTCGGCTGTCGAGGGTGACGAGTGCCCCGTTATCGGCGGCAGCGGCGTGCTGGAGGGTTCCCCCATGGGCGCCCCCCCTCCTCCGCTGCCTCCTCAGATGCAGCCACCCACCCTGCAGCAGCAGCAGCAGCAGCAGCATCTTCCGGGCTCTGCGCAGCAGTCGCACCACCATGGGATGCTCGGCCACGTTCACGTGGCATCCGACGCGAGCAGCATCCTGGAGCAGGACCTGGGCATCATCCTGTCGGAGATCCAGTGGCCGCATGGCGGGCAGCAGAGTGGGATGGGCGGGCCAGAGGGCGGGGGTGGCGTGGGGCCCGGGGGGCGGCGCCCCAGCCTCGCCGACGACCCCTGCGGCTCTCCCGTCGACCCAGAGCTGCTGTTCGGCGTGCCGTCCAGCACGGCCATGGCCGACTTCGACTCGCCGCTCAACGCCAACGTATTCACGCCGGACAGCGACGACGACAGCCTCCCCGACCTCCTCATGGAGGGAAATCTCCAGCCCAAGGCCGGCAAGGCAGGCCAGGGCGTGGACCCGTACACGCCGTTTCCCGGAGCGTCTGGCGGCGAGCAGGCGTCCTTCGCGGCGGACGTCGCGGGCAACCGCGCGCGGGCGGAGACGGAGAGCTCCGAGACACCGGGGCAGGCTGCCGGGAAGATTGGGGGAGGGGTCGGCGGTGGTAGCGGTGGCTTGGGGGCCCCGACAAGCGTGGCGGAATACATGCAGTCGGCGTTCCCGCTCTTCAGCACCGTGGAGGTGGCGTCGGTGAAGGTGGCGGGGGCGTCGGGCCCCGCACGCGACAGGGAGCAGCGCGGCGAGCGCGAGCGGGACGACGCGCCCAAGGGCGTCAAGCGGGAGCGTGATCCTTCGGAGAGGCCACGCAAGGACAAGCCGCCAAAGAAGAAGAAGCGCGACCGCGGAGACGGCGAGTGGAGGTTAGGATCCAGCCTGACCTCCTCGGGTGGGTCGTCGTCCTCTGTGTCGCATCACGTTCGATCGCAGACCCCGCCCGCCTCCACCGCACCCTTGAAGATCACCATCCAGGTATCCACCAAGAAGGTAACGCTCGGAGGGCAAAGTAGTAGCAGCGGCAGCAGTGGCAGTGGGGGAGGGGGTAGTGGAGGAGGTGGGGGTGGTAGCGGCGGAGGTGGTGGTGGAGGTTCATCGCTTACAGCCACGGGGAAGAGCTCATCTTCGGCGTCCGTGGTCGCGTCTCCCAGCCGCCAGAGCACTCAGTTTGTAGGCAAGATAAAGAACAACAAGACCGGCTCTTCTTCTGGGGCACCCATGCTCAAACCCTGGTCTACGCACGGAAGTAGTGGCACCAACAGCGGCGGCACCAGTGGGGGCAGTGGAGCTTTCCCGAAGTCCGGCGTGTCATCGCAGCCGCATGTGACGCGCCCCGTTCATAACAACACTATCCGAATCAAGACTCCACCAAAACCCCCTCCCCTCGCATCGGGCCTGAGCAGCAAGCCTAGCGGCTCGCCATCGCACTCAAGGTTGGTGCCAGGCTCGGCCGCCGACCGACAGCACATGGGGAAGGGTCCGCCGGGCGCGCCGCCCCCCATGAAGTTGAAGACACCGGGAAGCGGAGGCCCCCCCATGTCCGGCGGCGGTTCCGGCGGCATGGGCAGCCACTTCCGTGGCTACAAGATGGGGCCGTCTCACCCGCGCAACGTCCAGGGCGGCGTCTCTGGTTCATCCTCGGGCCACGGCCTATCGGGATCTGGGCCGGGATCAATGTCTGCGTCAAGAGCGGGCTCCGGAGGGCCGGCTCCTGGCTTCAAGGTGTCCAGCCCGACCGTGTCGGCGCCAGGCTCCGTCTCCTCGCTCCCGTCGAAAACAGGCCGCTCGCCGAGCCACAGGTCATCCCTGACGGCCGTTATCGACAAACTCAACCATAAGGTGTCAACTACGGGCCATGGCGACGAGGTGGCGCAGCCCCCGCCTCGCGAGCGGATGCAGGGCCCTGGCGCGGGCCAGTCCGGCCCACAAAAATCCCACCCGCAGCAGCAGGCAGCATTTGACGAGGCGTGCAAGCGTGATCGAGACACCAAGGCCGGCGGCGCGCCGCAGGACGGCCCCAGAGCGAGGCCCGACGAGGCACGGAGTAGCCCCGCTTCGGCCGCAATCGGCGGAGTGGGCAGGAGCGAAGGCGGTGGCTCATCTCCCGCCAACTTCAAGCACAAGTTGGCGACGGCTGGCGGCAGCGGCGGCGGGGGTGGCGGCGGCATTTCCGTTTCAAAAGGGGATGACACGGGGCCGTCCCGACTGTCGGCTTCAGCCCAGGGCGGCTGGGGCCACGACGTGACGGGCTCGGGCGTGACCCGCGTGCCAACTCCCGTGTCTGCCTCCTCCACGCCCAAGGTGGCCGAGCCGCCAGCGTCGTGTGCAGCCGGAGACTCGAACTCGCAAGTGAGCGGCGGTGGCGGCGGAGGTCTGTCGAGGAGCCAGCAAGCGAGCGGGCTGAGCCACTCGCTGGGCGCCGGATCTATGGGCAGCGGTGGAGGCAACATCGGTAGCGACAGCCCCAGTTCAGAGGACGACAGCGTGATTCTCATCGGGGGCTTTCCATCAGCGGAGCGGCAGCACGGCAAGGGCAAGCACAGGAAAGAGCTCGCCAAGTCCGGCACCGACTCAATCACCACCGGCATGGGATCGTCAAAGTCGCCGGCCGTTTACGACCAGGCCCTGCCGGGGAGCGTCCAGGCCACGCCCACATCTCCAGAGGTCATTGCCATCGACCTCATGGATGAGGCTCTCATCGGGAGCTCTCGCTGAGCCCTCGGTCCAATACTCCCAACCCCATCCGCTGCCTTCACCACCGCTGTGCTCCCGCCCGGAACATTAGGGTAGCTTTGTCATGTTGGAGTTCGTGAGCGCTGGCGTGTGGGCGGGGGTGGTGTTTGGTCTGAGAGGTGTGAGGAGGGTAAGGGTGGTTGCCCCCCCCCCTCCCCGTTTAACTGTCGGTTGACTGACGTTAATTGAAGGAACGTGGCGTGTGCACGTGTCAAGGTTTGTGAACCCAAATTGGTTTATTATCACGGTCCTGTGTGTTTTTTTATTTGTTTTATAAACTTAAGTCATCGTTCATCTCATCATTTAGGCTAACGTCACTAATTATTAACGTTCGTGCTGTTAAATGACATATATCAAGTCAAATGAAAGTATCCATTGAGTATTAAGTGAGGCTTATCTTCATTGGCAGTTCTGAGCAGGTGGTAGAAATTCCACATCACAGTGTTTATTCAAAGGACAAACACTGCCTTACTTCCACTAAGTGGATGCACTAGACGGTACTCATTTTGCCAATCACATTGGGATGATATTCTGAATACTTGTAATTGTCCTAAATCATTTGGGATGCTGTAATGGTAAACACTGGACTTACAATGCAGAGAGGTCACTGGTTCCATTCCTCAGCGTGGCAGTTTAAACAATGGACAAGTTTATTAAATTGCCTCTGTCCACCCAGCAGTATAAACGTGTACACCCAAGTCAATCAGTAGGCCACGTGTCGTGGGGTCAAGTTTACGTACTTTCACCTATTTCAAAATTACTGGTCAGCATGGGAAAGTAGGCCAAATGCCCTTCGGATGGGCTCTCTAGAGCTCCCCATAGGCAGCCTTCTCCCAGCGGTGGCGTGAGCAAGCAGTTACTGGGCTGCAACTGTACCCTTTGCGTGAATTCATATGCTGTCAGTTTACTCGTTGAAAAATATTTTAAAAGGCCACTCTCACCTATAGCCATGGAAAAAAAGGCTTTGGGGCCCTAGATGTCCCAACAGCGGTGGATGTGACGTCTCGTAAGTTACATTCCGAAAGAGGCGCAGTCCATTTCATGAACCATTTAAACAATGTGAGGCGCATGCCGATGTATTACAAATATACAGTATGTAATTGCTACTTTTTTAGATGACTACGTGCACATTTTTATTTTAAATAGTATTATATTTTGTGTTTGTCTTATGCAAGAACCGCTAACTGTATTGGAAAGTTTTAGAATGTGAATGAGGTCAATTTATAAATGGCACGCAATCCGAATCTTGCCCGGAGTTCAGAGGTTTATCCGCAGGCTGGGTTGTGACGCGCAAGCATCTCTAACGTACACATGCAGGTGGCCAATACAATGTGTGTTCTCAAAATAACGGGGGGGGGGGGCTATACCGTGTCCTGTACATGACAGTGTTTTTTTGGGGTGTGGGAACCCCAACAACAAAAAATTACGTCAAAAATAGTACTCACGAATTTAACAGCCTGCAGAGCAGTTTTGACTTCCTGTTCGCTGTATCTCCGCCCTACGCAGAAACACCACGCACCACGTCGTCTGAGTTTGGTGCTGTGCTGTACGGTGACTGCTGGGATGTTGGGTTGTGCTCTCGAGAATTGCCTTGTGATATTAGGTAGTTTAATTGGTGTTTTTGTTTTGTTACTATGGGATAAATTTGGATATAACTGGGATTTTTAAGAAAAGGGATATGCCGGGGCAACCGCCACAATTGCATTGATATGGTAATTGAAGGCCACGCTGCAGTTAGCTTTCATGTAAATATGAACTTGATCAGGCTCCCAAGGTAAGATTGAGGACTGTCCTTTCACAGTGTGACTTTTCGAGGTGGCAAAGGGTGATTGATCCCCACGAAAATTAAATAAAAAATATTGGTTTTAATCGTCAGTGGGTTACAACCTAGCCTCTAATCATACCACACAGTTTGAATATATGCCCACAGTTTGTCTTTACACGTCATTCACTGGTAAGCGTGTCTTGAGACCACAAAAACATTGTCCTTGTTTTCGCGACGCATACTCGAATGTACAGCCAGAACAACCTCTGCTAGGCAGGTTATAAATATTGGACACGTTTTTGGCATGGGACACGGGGGGAAGCCTTGCTGTATCCTGTTAAGTGACTTTTCCCTGCATGGATGTGTTGCTCTTCTGTCGATTGCGGCTGCCAAAAGTGGAATTTTGTTTTTAAAAAAAGGTTGATATTGCAAAACACCAGGAGATGGAAGAGTTAAAGAAATGTCGTGCGATGAGGTGTCGGTTTTGTAGCCTTGATAAGTAGTGTGCACGCGTGTCATTTGGCAATACTACATCCACAAAAAACAGGCAAAACATTTTGAGAACACAATGCTGTAATGGAAACTAGCTCACAAAGTGCACATTAAATACCCATGTTTGTTGCACCAATTAACTGTGGGTATGGGGGAAGCAGTGATGCAATCGGTATACTGCACCTCGAACCCAAAGGCCCTAAGTTTGATTGCTGGTGTAACCGGCGTGTACTTGTCTACAGTAAATTGCACTTGTGATTGTGCACGGGGCAACGTTTTGCACTCTGGTGGTCACAAGTTGCTGTTCTGTGCTACATCCTGCCGTTACATGAGGCGTCTGCACCCTTCACGCGGTGCAGTACTGACTCAGGGATTGGTTCCTAGGCCACACGTGCACATTGGACCACGCCCGGACTGATGTTGTGTATGGTTCATGTACGGGGGGGGGGAGGCTGTTCAGTGCTGGCTCGGCGAGCGACTGGGATTTGAACAGCGTGGTGTTTTGTGGCGTGTGGGCTGTGGTGGCTCTTGGTCACCGTTTGCAGAGATGCAAAAGCTACCCAGGAGAGCACTTGAATAAAGTGTTGCCGTTACAAGACCCACTCGCCAAGTAGTCCAGTCATCTCGACCAACCGCGTGATGCGGAGAGGGACACGAACACAACATCGAACAACATATATGGTCCTTGAATGCTTTTTTTGCCGACCTCGTTATGATCACGCCAGGGAGGGAGGAAGGACCAGCGACACTGGCCATGGCTAACTTGAGTGGAAAGTGATGTCTGAACCGGCCATGCCCCCCACATCCCACCAACCCACACTGACAGGTGTGGCCAACACTGCGTGGGGAGACCTTCAGCAAGGGGGGGGGGGGGGGGCGAGACAAAATATTGAACATAATTTTATTCTTCGAATATTGCGTTGATATGGGATACTACATTGAGAAGTCAAGTTGTGCGATTCCCTCTTATTTTAAATCACACTTTACCAAAACTGTTTTACTGCTCCTTGTACAAACTGTCCACCCCGACGAGAGATGATGATGTGCTGTAATGTAACGGTAATAACGGGGACGCGTTCTTGGAATGTTCAAGCAAGGCGATGTTTCAGCATTAGCATGTTCAAGCTGGCATGAGTCATTCTTGGTTTTATATGTTTTAGGTAGCGCTTTTAAAACCAATGGCTTTTAAGTTGTAATGTAATGAACAAATTTAAATACAATTATATTTCAACTTTTGCGAGCTTTCCGTTGTGCTGATTTTTTTACCACATTTTTTTCATAATTGTGAAACACGTGATATCCAGTGACGTCACTTGTTAGACAGGAGACGTAATCCGAAAAACTTAAATTAAAAATCTGACAATGTTGAATCTCAAAAGGTATCCCTAGTCCCTGCCGTGTAGGATTCCCGTCAAGGATTAGGCATTGTGACACGCCCAGTCAGAGGACAGCACTGCAAAACAAGAACGCATTTGCAGTGCATTCGACATACTGTGGAACGACGACACCTTGTTATAAACATTTCGCCTGTCTCTAAAATTTCACAGGTATTAATGAAGAATGCACTGCATTTCTGATAATGCGGAGATGGGAATGGCGCTTGCAGTTATCCCACCACGTGCTGAAGATGGGCGCACCGTCCAATCGTCTACACTTTTTCTTTTCAAGGGCCTGTGTTCAGTTGGATAAAAAATAACTTCAGTCACTATTCTTTTAGTTAGCATTGCACACCATTGTGAGCTCAGGGCAAATTTCACATCTTGCGAAAGACAAGTGAATCCACATTTGAAAGCCAAGTGACGACTTAAGGTGGTGACCAAATTAATTGCTGCTGGTACTGTGCCTCCGTTGAATTTCCGAAGTTGGCAGTGGTTCTCAATGTGCCCTATTCTTTGATTGTGATCTCTGCAGACCCCGTATTCTGGTCTTAAAGAGTTACGGTGTTCCATTGTTTTTCAGTGAAGGTCGGCACCAGGTGATTCATTGGTGGGATCCGATATTAGATTTGTTCGCATCGCTATTAGCCCAGAGTTGTCTCCAAGATGATACTGTAATAACTTTTAACCAGTTCATTTTTTTTTATGGACCGCAAAGTGCCTGCGCGACTTGGAGGCGCGGAGCCAAGCTCAGAGTTTATTTGAAAGCTTTTTGGAAGACAACCTTCACGTGATCCACCTGTCAAGTGTTTCTCAAACGCTGTCATAAACTTGGCACAATAGTGGCAGAAGAGTAAGAATACATGCACGGTGCAAATTCCTACTCCACACATATCTCCGAGTTATTAATCGGAGTCTACAAGTACTGTAATGTCGATTCATAACATGACAAATCTTCCCAACGAGAGGAAATCATCACACTACCAGTACCTTTAAAATATATTCTGAAACTCGATTTATATTAATAATGACTACGCATGCGCTCAATAGGTTCCCAACCCCAATTACTGCACAGGCATCATAAGGGCTTTGGCAAACGTGGCCCACATGCTGCGTGTTCTACACAACAGGGCCATTGTTAGTTAAATATTGGTAACACATTGAGATTCATGCAGTATTGTATGTGTGGTCGTGGTGCTTGCTGTGCCTTCTTATGCGCCGTGTAATCTGTTGTTTAGTTAATCATTCAATAATTATCACTTTCTCATTGTCTAGTTATCTTTATTATAGGACCTCATCCCAAAAACTGTCATTAATCTAAACAGCAAGAAACAGGATTTAATCGGTGGTGAGTTATCTCTGAACCCGTCCCAGACCTACCCTACGTTGACCTGGCCTTATTAAATTAATATTTGGTGCAGGTAAGTCCTGGAGCCGTGAGCACCCGATAGACAAAGACAGTCGGTCATGCATGGTGCTGCCTACCCCAGCGCCTCGTGCGCCGTGCCGGCAAATCGGTGCACCCCCACAGCACTTTCTCCGACAGCCTGTGTAGCTATAGGAGGATCTTTGTGTGTGTGCATGTACATATATCAATAGGCCTTTGTGTCTGCCACTTTGCTTTACTATGGTTCACTGCTGGGCACCCCCCCTCCCCCCTCATCATTCACCACATGTAAATTTGCCCTGAATGTGAAACGAATCTCTCGAAGCTGGAGGGGAAAACCTCTTAAATTGACAACACTGCATGGGTGGCCGTGCGAGTGGAATTATGAGTTATGCGATCGTGTGGTATGCATACCAGTCTGCATTTAATTACACGCTGATTGAAATTCCCACAATGCAACCGTGTGAGCTGATATCCATGCACGCATTGCTCACTTTGGGAATAGCAATTTTGCTTTGGTGATGTTTATTGTGTGTTAATAAGATCCTCATGCGTTTGTTATCAGCCATGGTCTGTCCACTGCTGGATTGAGGCCAGTGAAAGCTGTCACCATCTCTCACGCTCTCAATATGCAACAATCCATATAGCTCTTGCACATCAGCTAAATTCATGGACATTCTCTCGGGTGTGTCCCTGCGTTTAGCTGACATTCCATGCTCAGTCACAAGTACCAGGCGATCACCCCCATACAGCGACATCTGATCAAGCCCACTGGAGAAAAACCACGCAAAGATGATTCAAACCATGTTTTGTTTTACCAGGTAAGGCCCCCACTGAGCTAAATAGCTGGTCACAAATTATATCCCAATGAAGTGGCTTATGTCAAATTTATAGTAGCCATATTCTTAGGTTTTTTCGGTAAAGTCACGTAGGTAAAACATTAAAATTAATGAAAGTAAAATAAAATAAAAATAACGACGTTTGCCTCCGAAACGTCGTGATTTTTATTTTATTTTACTTTCATTAATTTTAATGTTTTACCTACGTGACTTTACCGAAAAAACCTAAGAATATGAATCCTTGCAGTCACGAAAGCTTCAAATCTAGAATTATAGCAGCCATATACTCTAAACGCATGTTTCGAAATGTGGAGGGAAAAACCGGAGGAGCCTGAGAAAAATCCACGCGACCACGGGGAGAACACGCAAACTCCAAATATACAGGCGTCAGGGTCGCGATTGACCATGACCTCCGGTATACCAGGCGAGGTAGTTAACATCTCCCAGCCACCGTGACACAGAGTGGAAATAAGAGAAGTAGGCAAAGTAGGAGCAAGCAAAGGAGTCACCTTGATGAAAGACATCGTTATTATTTCCAGAAATCAATAGTTTGACGATGCAGCAAAATACCGTAAGTTTCTGTCAAAGGTAATTTATGACCGATATGTTTAGAGGAAGCATCAATCCGATTTTCACAAAAACAGCATCATGAATAAGCGTATGACTCAACTTTGGTGGCAACCCTACTTTCTCTACTGCCTTCTACAGGCGCCACTGTTTCCGAGCAATTGCATTTAAAAAAAATATAAATCAGTTAACGATAGAGTATAACAGGCGTAAGAGTCGCATGCAACTGTTGCATACAACATGCCAATCGAACCCCGCCGGTGGCGAGATGTTAACTCCCTCGCCTAGCTATGCAGGAGCTCGTGGGTTCGATCCCAACTCTAACGCCTGTATATTTGGAGTTTGCATGTTCTCCCTGTGGCCGCGTGGATTTTTTTTCCGGGTCCCCCCCACATTTATAAACTTGCGTTTAGAGTGTTTTTCTGCTATAAAATGCCACGTGATAAGCCACTTCGTTGAGCTATGATATGTGGCCAGGTCGCTTCTGAAAAAGAGCTACATAGCTCAGTGGGCCGTACCTGGTAAAAGATAAATATAGATTAGAAGGGATGATAACTGGTGGTCAAGACTAACAACGGAGTGGTAGACAAAGGAGAGAACTCGACCCAGAGGACCATCACCGTTGAGATGGAGCGATGAAATTATATCGTTCACAGATTGCATTTTTTTTGCATTGCAGCACCGAGAGATATGGCTAGGACTCAGGGATGCCTTCACCCAGCAGTGGATATATCATGGCTAATGATCACAATGAAGGCTCACAACTTGAATCCTATAACTTGTGTCCGATTTTTTTTTATGTTTGCATCATATAATTAATACCTACAAATGCCATGATGATAATTATTCAAGGTTAACGTAGCGAACACACGTGTAAATACGCCAAACAATACAAACGAGACGGTGAAAACGAAGCAAATCATCGATTCGTTCATTTATTTCGGATCTTGCACCAAGACCATCAAATCTCCCAATGGGTAGGCGAGGGCCGTGCGAGTCGTGGCGGCTAATTCACCATACTTCACCACGCTGGTAAATTGTGGTCTGTGAAAGCGGGGAGCATAGACGTTGAGGTATAGTCGAGCATAACAGTAATGTAGATTTGTATGCACTACCCGAAGCAAAAAGAAAACCTCGCTCCACAGCAGACGATGTCGCCTGCCAGGAGGAGGTTCGTGAAGGACGATACTGGGTAGCTGGAGGCAGTCGCCCTCAAACAACAGCGGAGGGCAGAGGAGCAACGCTCACAACAACGAGCGGAGCGCCGGGTGGTTAAAATACAGCAAGGAGGGAACACAGTCGTCTTCGTCGGTCAACACATGGCACCTCGGTCTGTCTCCGTAACCAATTGTCAGCGAGCCTTCGACACTTTACGTGGCCACGGCGTGCACCTAGCCTGGCACAAGCGCCGTAGTGACTTAGTGGCTCAACACATCTGCTGAGCTGCGGACGAGATGGGCGCATTCCAATGATTTAGTCACAGATTAGGGGGGGGAGGTGGTGGGATCTTGAATGGGGTAATCACGAAACCGCAGCGAATGGAATGGAGGTCCCACTTGTCTACATTCTGCAGCATTATAATAATCTTTACTTACGTGTGTATTCGGAGTTGTATCTGTGTTATCTTCAACTGTTAAACATGTTATCGTCTTGTAACAATTACGAGGTGGGGGGGGGGGGGTTTCAGCCTCGGAACAAGCGAGGCAATTAAAGCATTCATTCATTTACACACAGGTCACGCATGCAAATGAGACTTAATCCCGCGTGTCTCGAGTTCCCACCTGGTTAAACAAAGAAGCCAACTTGATTCGTGGATGCCCTCAAGTCATTAGTTTAATCGTGCGTTGATTCACCTTTGTTTCCCCTTTAATTCCATCTTTTTTTCTTTCTCACAGGCACGCGTTTTTTTATAGTGACCCTTAAAAAAATTATTTACCTACTTCACGTTGCCTTGTAATTAGATTGTCTTGTTAAGCGTTCGTAAGTTTACGCAGGGCGTGACGACAATCACACCTTTATTTTTTCTTTCGATAAATCAGCCTTTGTTGATTGTGAATGGGGCGTTTCAAATGTGAAAGCTATTGTTTAACGCATAACAGATGGTGCGTTAATATTAGATGGCCAACGAAAATAACGCGGAGACATTCTGGACATTTTACTTCAAAGCATTCTTTGTACCCGCCGATCTCAGTTCGCGTGTCATCATTACATCTCGCAAGGTCATACCTGTCAACAACCCATGCGGTTTCGTCGTATTCTTGTACAGGGAAATTGAGTTTTCAGGTCCATACGGCGTACAGCCGTTTCGATACGGGCACATTTTTTTGTCTCTTTGTTTTTCTCCCTTGCGATGGGACTTTGTAGGATCGACGTTGAGATTTATAAGGGCACGGGGTCACCAATAAGGTCTGAATTTGGGCTGTAATAGGGTAGGCACTGATAAGGGGTTTAACAGGTATGCAATTTCCTCTGTAACATACGGAGTTATCTCTTTTTCCAACCTTGTTGAGAAGGAACGGGATCGTTAGACATGGGTGGGGTATTGCTGGATAGATCATTAACCCCATGTACACGTGTTTCTCCCAGTGTGTGTGTGTATTCGTTCAATTGCCTGGTTTTGTGAGGCCCAACGAGGCAATTTGACTTATAAAACAGGAGGCTGTGGACGGGACGGGCTCAAGTGGAGGCGGAATCATCTCGCTGCAATCTGACGACAACCATTCGTGTGAGATTAATTGTAATTATGCATTCAATTGTATTTAGATGAAGTCACTCATTTTATTGATGGTTAAAAAGTTATATTGTTAGTTTAACACGTAGGCTTTCGCGACCAATATCATCCATAATACAGGTTTTTTTTTGGGAGTTAGATCGCGCAAATATATGAATGTGTCGTTATTTTGTTTCTTATCCCAAGTCTTGATGTAAGACTTTAAAAGCATCCAGCAGTGGATAAACGTTGGCTTACTGGTGAACCTTAATGAATGTTGTTTGTTTATGTATTTGTTGGTGGTGAGCAGCGGCGGAAAGATTTGACCCCGCCTCGAAGGAGATGACTTGAATTGTCCAATTAACGTCGGCGATTCAATTCAATAATCAATTACTTTGCAAACAATTGCTGGTGAAAATAGCGGCCTCTAGTGAGTGAATCACGTGAACTGGTTTCATGCATTCTAGATTTGAAGCTTTCGTGACTGCAAGGATTCATATTCTTAGGTTTTTTCGGTAAAGTCACGTAGGTAAAACATCAAAATTAATAAAAATTAAATAAAATAAAGATCACGACGTTTCGGAGGCAACACAAGTCTCCGTCATCAGGTGGGACCGTCACAGCCAGATTAGCTGCATCAAGTGGTTTCATGCAACACGTACGGATTAAAAAACATCGATTCCATTGGATTGTACCATCAGTTTAATAATTAACATAATCGACTAATCGATACCTCCCAGCAATGAGCCATTACATAAGGTTAGATCACAACAGTGGAGGCAAATAGGGACTGAGTGGGCGTGTCCACGGGGGGGGAGGGGGGAGTGAAGGTGACCAACCGGGGACTGAGGCTAGCGAGCCTCTAGCCAATGAACGCGCGAGATATGGGCGTGGCCAAGTCGACTATATGGGCGTGGCCAAGTCGACTATATGGGCGTGGCCAAGTCGACTATATGGGCGTGGCCAAGTCGACTATATGGGCGTGACCAAGTCGACTATATGGGCGTGACCAAGTCCACTATATGGGCGTGGCCAAGTCTACTATATGGGCGTGGCCAAGTCCACTATATGGGCGTGGCCAAGTCGACTATATGGGCGTGGCCAAGTCGACTATATGGGCGTGGCCAAGTCGACTATATGGGCGTGGCCAAGTCTACTATATGGGCGTGGCCAAGTCTACTATATGGGCGTGGCCAAGTCCACTATATGGGCGTGGCCAAGTCCACTATATGGGCGTGGCCAAGTCCACTATATGGGCGTGGCCAAGTCCACTATATGGGCGTGGCCAAGTCCACTATATGGGCGTGGCCATCGCGTGTAGGCGGCGCTAACGGCTCGAGGTGGGCGTGACGTAACTCAATCAATCAGGGGGGTGCAGTTTTTTATTCATTCTTACAAAAAATCGTTTATTTATTTTGCATTGTTTCTGTTGCATTTGTTGTCCTTCTCGATTAGGTTTCCACTCTTATTTTTTCCCCCTCCATTTTTTGTATCGAGAAACACCGCGGCTTACTGCCCTGATTCCCGTGGGGAGGGAGCAGAGAAGGGTGGGTGGGTGCGGGGTAGGGGCAGGGAAGCACGAGAGGAGGAGGGGGTTCCAGCTCGGCCGCCATCCGCGCCACAGTCACCGACGCCACCGCCTCCAATTTCAATCCGTCCATTCCCGCCGTCGCCTCGAGCCATCGGCCGCTCGTCGCGCTACCACAGTGAGCCCGACCATCTTGTGTCGCCGCGGCGCTCGTTATTTCTCGACGATTTAACTCCTAAGCGCGATATTTTTGACGAGCAAAGTTTCCTCTCCGGTGCGTGATCGACCTCCCCACCCCACCCCGCCTCCCTCAGCTTTGCAAAACGGCGTTGCGCGCAATTAAAACCGCGCGTTCTTGACGCCGATGATACTGAAGCTGCTCTTCTGCTGTTGTTACTGCTGCTGCTGCTTGTTTAAAGGACCCCAGCATGAACAAGCTGTACATAGGGCGCCTTGCCGAGGGCACGCAGGCGGCTGATCTCGAGAGGGTGTTCACGGAGGCGGGCGTCCCGCCGCGGGGCCGCTTCGTGCTGAGACGGGGCTTCGCCTTCGTGGACTGCGCGGACGAGAGGGCCGCGCAGAAGGCCATCGACCTGCTCTCCGGTGTGGCCACACGTACCCCCATCACCCACAAACATCACCACCAACACCACCCCACGCGGGCCACACGCAGAGACCTCTCGCGTCCCGTGCGGCCCGAACACCTCCAAAGTCTCGCGTGGTGGTGGTGGTTTTGTTGCCGTCTCGGCCCCGCCGGTGGTGTCGTGGTTATTTATGTTTGTAGCTACTACCACCAAACCCATCTCGCTCGCTCTCTCTCCCCATCCCCCTCCTCTCCGCACCGCACGCTGGCCCCAGTAAACTCGAGCGTTTAACAAGTTACGCGAACTCTCGTTCAGCCAGTCGGGCCCATAAGCATGTGGCCGCCCGCCGTATTCGTCTATTCTCTCATCCCATCAGTAATACACTACTTTGTTAATCTCGACGGCCATCCATACAGCAGGAACGGCAACGTTTCCATCCGTGTGGGGGTGGCGGAGATCCATAATTAATTCGTGTGCCGTGTATCCAGCCACTCGTTCATAACCCAGTGCTTCCATCCGGTTTAGCCTCTCATCCGAAACGTCTAACCCAATCCATTCACTCCGTACAATAACATCCATCAACTGGGTAAACCAACTCGTTCAAACACCCCCCCCAAAAATTGCCACATTCGTCAATATACACATCCAATCCGCTAGTCCCATTCAATTAACCCTTGTCCATTCATCCAACTCGATATTCATCGAAACATTTCTCATCCGTCTCTATCCATCCATCTGCCAGCTAAGAAGGGCTCCTTTAATAATTATGTGTAATCACGCACGCAAGTACACTACTGGTGGTAAATCTCGCAATCTCTGTTGGCCCATCGCATTACTACAATTAGCACGGTTGACATACATACACTCCCATTGTATTGTAAAAGACAAACGAGTATTATCTTGAAACTACACTCAACGCAGTCTTTCTGGCTGTTTGAAACCAGGTTTGAATGAAGTTAGATTTTATTAAAAGTCTTTACAAGCTACTTCCAGGATGAATCTGGTAGTGTTCCTTCAAACGGAGTAAAAATCAATGTATAGCCTGTTTAACACGTAGAAGGCTTTCGCGACCAATATCCATAATAGAGATTTTTTTTGGGTTAGATCGCGTAAATATATAAATGTGCAGTTAAACCCGCCACCACCCGACACAGCCAACTATCTCGTTGGGTGGTGGCGGGTTTAACAACACATTTACATGATCTAACCCAAAAACCTCTCATCGATTTATAGTACAGGGTATGGTTTACCGTTAATGAAGCTTCTTAAGTTTTGGACACTGGTTAGTTGGGCATCCTTGAGTACTGTATATACATTATTTGGTTTTCCTCTTTAGTAACTTTACAGTGCGCATCTTCATGATACATTGTGGGTAATACAGTTAAAGCAACATACATGGATCTGTGTTTTCGTTAACACCTTGTGATGGTTTATTTGTGGCCGGGTGACTTTGTGATCGATTGCTGCAGGTGGGGGTAGGTGGGAGGGTCAATACAATCTGTACCACGAGGATTTTAAAAGTGGTTTTCCTATTGATTTAATTTTCAACCTTACCACAGGATGACGGAATTTCCACCACTGGCTGAAGGTTGCAAAACAGGTGGTGAGCATCACCTCTTCGTGCTCCTTTCAGCAGGATACCCACTTAGATTGTTTTGGGTGGGTGTTTCATTGGCTTTTAAAAACAGTCATAAGGTCACCTTGTGGTTCAGGGGTCAAAGCACTGAGTTAACATTGTGGAGAGATCCTGAGCTTGAATATGGGTCTCAGCTTCTTGTAACTGAACCGGGTTATTTTAGCAAGTTGTTCTCAGCCAGGTTGCCATTGATAACATTAGAATTAATTTTCTTAAATTTCAACTGAGCATTTAATTATCCATAAGACTGCCGTTTAATAGTAGGATGTGTATAAAAGTGAGATCTCAGAAGTAATTTTATTATCTGATTACACATGAAGTGGTGCACTGAGAGTTCAAAATGGATTGTTCATTGTTTTCAAGTGGGATGGATGATTGGGTTTTTGTTTAGAAAATCTGCCAATACATTATTGTGGATTTAAGCAAGGTAGTGCAATGATAAAAACACATCCATCACTTTAACGTGGATCAACGTTCTGTGCAGTCGGAAGAAATATTTTTTTTGGTGTAAATGTAGCCAGATGTGGTGGTGTGTTGTACACCTATAATCCAACCCTTTGTTTCGTGGATCTTGCAAAGGTGTCCGCTGTTGTAAGGCCATCAACCTGTTGAGGTGGCCGAGGGATGGCAGTATAGCCAAGCGTATTTGTGACACATCTGAGCACTTTTGAGTGCTGCTATTCCTGATATGCGTGGGTTTCCTCTGGTTAAAAATATACTGAGCAGAGCTCTAATGTTAAACTTGTGAATGCTGAATTTAACCCATCAGCTGTTTTCAGTTGGTCTTGGTGCAGTGAAATTGAATGGTACATTTGTTTAAAAGGTAACTTGCTATTGTTTTAATGCATTTTATTTCGTCTCGTTTTTAATTAAACTTTTTCACATTTTTACATGTGTTTAATTTCATCGTGAAAATGAATTTAATTTACTTTTGATTTTTCATTTGTGGAGTACTACTTAGCAGGTCAATTGTTCACTGATTTAGTTACTTGAAATTATAATTCAAATATTTTTCACTTAAGTTCCCTATATCTCTATGCTGTAATTATAACCATATAAATGTAGCTCATTTAATTGCTACTGGTTCTCTCAGCTTTTTGTAGAATTTTTTTTGTTTAAAATGCTTCATGCAATGCAAGATTTCTAACTTCACTTTTTTTAGAATGAACTATTATGGGCCTGTTCTGATTCTTGAATACTTTGCTTTGGGGTTCGATTTTATTGGTTTGAGGCTGCATTTGTGTGTTTTGCACAGCGCCTTGTGATCTTTCAGGCAAAAGCGGCTTGAAGTGTAAATGATTTATATCAATGCCACATTGTTATTGTGCAATTTATGTTTAAACATTTAATCATAACGAATTTTACTTTTGACTTGTGCATTTGGTATTTATTTTTGTCACGCAGCATTTACTAATTTTATTTAGTTTTAGGAATTATTCGACGTAATGAAAGAAATATTATTTTTCTCTATACCCGTTCACTGCGTTGGTAGTTCTATTCCGTAATTGCAAACAACATTAAAACATTTTCTCGTTTACACCATTTTGTGAAGTCGCCTTGGGATGAAAGGAGATGTCCCTTTGCCTTTTTCAATTTCACGTGTTGAGAATTATATTTATTTAGGACATTTACTCTGTTAAGGTCCCCGCTTAAACGTCAATGATAATACAAGTGTGTACCATTTCAAATCTAGACTACATTTGTGTTCATGCGTATATGACCAAATCGCCCTGAATGCTGCAATTCTTGTCAGGTTTTGGAACTTTTGTATGGTGGAGCCTGCTTAGCAAATGAATGAGAGGGCTGCATGGTACTCATTATAGGATTGGACTGCAAGGTGTCCAGGACATGGTGGTACAGCAATGGATTAATTCAACCTATCTGTGCAGATCTTTCAGTGTTAGCTTGTTGCACGTGGAGGTTTTGCAGGTGCTCCGATGTTTTCCCATATGCCAAAACGCATTAAAGGAAGTTGCCAAACATCCCACATTGCAGGACCATCTTGAAAAATGTCTGTGAGAGTGACTGTCCTGGGTAAAAAAAAACAATTCAGTATGTGCACACGCAATGGCAGAGAACGACGTTTCATCCCAGTTTTATGTAGAACGCATGTGCAAATGCGTTGTTTGGTTGTTTCGTGCTTAAAAATCCTTATTCCCATCGCTGTTAAGGAAAGTAAGAAACATAGCTGGATGTTATTATATAGCTCATGTGCTGGTATTTGGAGCGAGGGATTTTTTTTTTAAATTAGTTCTGGAGTCGAGGGGCACCGCAAAGTACACTGCGTGTACAATAGCCGGCGCAGCTGCTTGCGAGCGCGTGCAAGCATGCGCATGACATTTTTCCAGTTAGCGCAAGGCTTCTGTGTACAAAGTCCGGGGCAGGCCTCAGAAACGGATGAACGTGGCATTTTGGTTTTTTTCGCTGTACTGTAAGGTCTTTCTATAAAACATGGCCACGTGACGGTTTTCCCTTTTTTTGTTTGTGTAACGTCCTATGGGCTTTGCAGCCGACTAAATACCGCTGTGTTTGTCATGTTATGCGCAGACACTTGCAAAATCAATGCCACGCATTATCGAAGAAAGTTTATGACAATGCATAGTAAACGGTTGAAAGTGGGTTTTGGGTTTATTTTTTTCTCTTCCTCCACCACCTCCCACCCCTCTAGCAATTGGGTAAACACATGCCACGTTGGCCAGTGATCAAACAAAAAGTGACTGCTTTTGAAAAAAAACATCTCCCCTTGCCCTGTTGCTTGCCCCCCCCCGAGCAGTAAAGTGTGGCGGTGAGCGCGGGTTGTGCGTGCATCGCTCCAAACACTAAATTGGAAGAGAGGTGTAAATGGAAGAAGGCATTTGCACTTGTAAAATATGAACGCTTGTGTCTTTGTCGGGGTATCCTTTGACGTTGTGTGTTGTGAAAATTAAGCCAAATGGCTTTAGTTATAAAAGTGGAAATAAACGGTGGAAATAACTTAATTCATTGCTGCATATTCTGTTGCAATTTAACACCAAGTTTCCTGCCAGTTGTAATTGAATAATTAAGGTCATTATCTTTTCTGTTTTCTAGGAAAGGCAGAGATTCAGGGGAGTACTATTGAAATCGAGCATTCCGTGCCAAGGTGGCAGAGGTAACCGGTGTTCTTGCATGTGCTTGCAGAGTTGCATTTCACGAATCACAGTCCATAATGTAATAAATTAATTAAATGGCTGTTATTTTATACTGCGTTGCTTGTTAATTTATCGTGGACCGGGAGCATAGTGGTTTGTGTTTGAGGGGAAAAGCAGCTGTGTAAGAAATGATTTTCATATTCCTTCGGTGATCTTTACTAAAGTGAATACATTACATAATACTGCTCGGTCTACTGTACTTTCCAATCGCATTACACTTAAATGCTGCTCAGAGTCATCAATTCAACTTAACATTTTTCAAAACTGTTTGTATTAGAAAATAAAAAATATATACACGTTGTAAGTATCTAGCCTGTTAACATCGGACACGTGCACGTGTTTTGCTTCCCATTTTAGATATCGTAAAATACAAGTGCGTGACATTCCGTCGAGCCTGCAGTGGGAGGTGAGTGATGCTGAAGGCGCGTCCGCGTGCGCTCGCAGCGGTATTCGTGCTCGAGCTGGAAGGGGGTCCGCCAAAACTCACCACACAAGCTTTTTAACTTGGCATCGTTCCATGCGCCCAGCCGCGCGCGCGGCTTTGTCGTCGACCGGCTGTCTACGGCGGCGTGCGTGTCTTGTGTGTTCTGTCGGCCCAAGTGCGCCTTGGCCCGGGCCGCATGGTGATGTCACCGTCACTGTGGCATATGGTGGCATTTGTTGTTCTCTCGTGGGGGGGGGGGGGGTAGTGGTTCACGCACTACGCTATGACAATTACAACCCGAGTTCAATTTCCAGCCATGGCTAACATCAGTGGTGAATATCTGAATCCGTCGTATAATAATAAACTCATGTTCACAAAGCTCCTTTCAAATTGTTAATTTCTCGCGCTGTACATCAGAGGTAAAACAAATAAACACTGACAACCGTAAATATCCAGCGTTAATGCAATAAAACCAAAGATAAAATTAAAATATAAACAAAGGCAACTGATTATCGGTGGAACCTAAGGAAGCCACGATAAAAACTGGTGAAAATAATGTCACGGATCTCCATAAAATGTAATCAATCAGTCTTGAACCTCCCCTAGGTCTATTCAGCCTTTAATACTTAGTTTGGTGTGTAAATATCAGCACTGGGGAGACGAAGGCTGGGCATGGTGCTGGCAACACCTCCACCTAGTTGCTCCCATCTTGTGCTTTCTCCAACAACTTTGCTATATGGGGAATCTTTGTCGTCTGTTTGGCATGCAGGAGCTGTTGAGCATTCTGGCCGAATGTGGCAGCGTGGAGAGCTGCAATCGTGGTGAGTCCCCACCGCCCCTGCAGTTTGACACATCCACGCGCATCTGATGATTCGCCTATTCTGTCGGATTTGATGAGATTTCAATATGGAGTCGCAATTTCTTTGAACAGTTGTATATTTTTTGTCTCGTTCGTGCCGTCTCATTTGTCAATTGGCGATCGTGTTCTTGTGTTCGTTTTCTTCGCACGACGTTTCATTCGCACACATTGGCAGACGCACAATTTGGTGCATTTATATTTAGCATGTGAACGGAATGTGCAGTGTGGTGTAATGCAATGATTGTGGCCTTGTGGCGCGTCGGCTTTTGACATTACAAAAACAAATTGGAAGATTGATTGACGTAGTCTCTACTTCTACTTTTAGTTTAAAATAGCTGAACTGTGGATAGCTGATGCTTGGATGAAATGAGGATCTTAAAAGTAGGGGTGTAGCGATTTAATTGATTAATATTAATTCTTCAGCTTGTGATACATCGAATCATATTTTTGAAGTGATCATTTTAAAGCTAAAAACTTAACTTTTTATTTTACCGGATATGGCCCAGTGAGATTTATATTTCAGAAGCGACCTGGCTACAAATGTGCAAATTTATAGCAGTCAAATACTCTAAACGCATGCTGATTCTAAATGTGGAGGGATAAACCGGAGAACCCAGATAAAAATTCACGGGGAAAGACATGCACAGTCCAAATATACAGGCATAGGCGTCGGGATCGAACCCATGACCTCCTGTATACCAGGCGATGTAGTTAACATCTCGCCACCATGGGTTTCGATTCGTATATGTTGTATGTGACAGTTGCATGCGACTCCTACAGCTGTAATATATACTCTATCGTTCACCGATTTATAAAAAAAAATAATCAGTTGCTTTTAGGCATCCTAAGACATTGTGATAACTCACGTATTTGATTGTTCATGCTGGCATCATGGGAAAGCTTTATACATTTTTGATCGTTATTGGATGGTCTCCGCACAGATTTTCACACGTTGAAATAAGTAATGCATTATTTTTGCGCATTTAATTCACTTTCCTCAGCCCACTTTCTTGACCGTGAGGATTTTTAGGGTTTTCAAGTTATTACAGGGCACCCTTTAATTGCGACTGTTTGCAAAATTGCTTGGGGATGGCCTTTCCATCTTTTCTCATTCTCTTGAAAAGTGTTTGAATTATTACACCACTAATGCTGATTTGATGCCTATGTAAATGCTGTTTCTGACACATTCCTCTCTTACACTGTGTAGTATTTTTAGGTTTAACAAAACATGTGGCCATTTAATAAAATGATAATGAACCCCAATTGTGTCTTGCAGTAAATTCTGAAGGATCCTCCACAGTGGTGAACGTTGTTTTTTCAACCAAGGAACAAGCGGAGATGTAAGCCTTCACACTCGTTGAGGTTTTTGTTTTCAAGGTAATGGTTTAACTTGTGAAAAAAAAGTGTGGATTAGGAGGCATGTGAAAAACACCGATTGGTACCATTTCATTAAATCAATCGTGCATTTCACTATTTACAATTATTTCAAATGACATGCTGAAAAAACACACATTTTGCACATTTGAGAATCATTACGATCAGAGTAAGTAAAATAATTAAGTTTATTTTTAACTTGAATTGGAAGCCGAAATTGTAGCAATGTTTGTAAACCTTAAGGAAAGGTAGTGCATTTATTTTTACCTTGCTATCGGTTGCAAATAGTCGTGGTGATAATTATGTTTAGAAAGTGGCGAATAGGACATTTCAATTAAAAGTTATTAGGATACTGACTAATCAGTTCCCTCGTTCTGTCACATGACCTGGGTTGTGGCACTTTTCGGTGAGATCTACTTGACATACTTCGGCATGCTGGTAGATGCGCATTGGTGAAGGCTTGAGCGCATACATGGAGCATGATACATTACAACAATAGATTTGCTGCACTGCCCTTTGTAAACTTAGCCCCATTGCATGGAACTGCAGTGGAGTAGCAAGTGTTGTCACCGACATCATGTGACTTTCGACTTGGGAGTCGGCTCAAGCCCTACAATGGCGTGTGATCCCGTGAACATCTTGGATATTGAACATCTTCTAGGCCTTCCCCTAGGTGTACTCGGCCTTAAACGAGTACCTGCTGCATTGTGGAAAGATCGGCACAAGGGGGAGATGAGGCGACCGGGCGTGGTGCTGGCTACAACACCACTTTCTTGTGCTGTGCTCTCCTTGATAGGTGCTCGCTTCCGGCTCTTGCCATGACAGTCTGTGAGGCTCTGCGGGTGGAGCATCGTTGTCTTATCTACGTGTGTGTGTTGTGCACAGTGCCCTGGACATGCTGAATAACAAGGAGGTGAGCAGCCGGCAGCTGAAGGCGTCGTACATTCCGGACGAGGACGTGCCAAACCAGAGTCCTCGCGAGGCGGGTGACAGCCGTACGATGCGGAACCCCAAGAGGGGGGGCTACTTCCCCAGGCAGGATGCGCCCAGGCAAGGGTAAAGATGACCATCACAGCTGTCCACTTCATAGAAGTCCCCAAGTTGAGCTGCTGTTACGTTATTAAAATTAGAACGATGACTTGAGGTTGACAGGGAAGCTCAAGGTCAGAGCACGGAGCCAAACATTGCCGAGATCCTGGGTTCAAAACCCGGATTTATTTTCTGTTACTTGTTTTTGTCGCATTTAAATTGGTGTGCTATACGTCAAGCAGACCTGGTTGCAATTATAATTATGATTTCAACATCGTTAGCTGACATCACAATTGCATTATGATCGTAATTAATTGCATATTGCAGTTAAAATTATAACTCGTCTGGTGTTATTTCAGGAGTTGGACATTTTTCGTTTGGAACCCTTGCATCTACAAGTACATCGCCATGTTTCACAACGGGCCCTAGCAGACGACATCACTGTCAGAATGGCCGCAAATGTCGCTACTAATTTTCAAGTCCCCTCGTTAGGCCTCTTAATCCACACTTGGCAAACGCCTTTAAATATCCCTTTCAAAGAGTGGTGCACGCCAATCAAACACATTTTTAATTCTCAGAGCTCGTATAAGCTCATTGAATTTAAACCAACAATGATACAATTGTTTTTTTTCGCGAGGTCTTTGGTCACCACTTAAGATGCAAACCGATTTTTTTCGTGGCTAAAATCCAGATAGCTCCATTTCGGCGGTGCCAATTCAATGGAAGCAATTTGACGCTGTTTTCTAACAAGGCTGTGTACTCTTTTCTGTGAATTCTGAATTCAACTTTCTTCCTATGATGCCGATTATACAGTAATTGTCAAACAAGCAACGTGCTCAACAGCAAAAAACTAAATGTTGACACGTGTAATGCCGTTTTAAAAATAGTTTCACATCGACTTTGGATGCTTGTGCATGTGTTTGAACATAGTGGCCCTGTGGCGTATATGTTGTCATACTATGCTGCTTGTCATGAACTCCCACAGTAGCCAGAACAGATTAAGTGTGGGTGCTTTGTATTGTGGGTGATATATTGATGGGAATTTGTGGTCATCTTACAAGCAATTATCTTTGCAATCACATGTTGTACCCGAGTCTGTGGCTGTTAATGTCTATAATAACCTCTTTTGCAGTTTTCTGTGTGAAGTAATAATTCTAATAGTTAATGTACAGCAATATTAATGAACTGCTCAGCAGTGATGAAGTGGGGTTTCCTAACTGGGACAATGTACATGTATAGCCAACACTTTTGGCAATTTCCTGCTGGATGAGGGATCCCCTCCCCCCTTGTCCTTTGTGGATGTTAGTTGACCATGCGTTACGCTGATCGGTATGGGGTTGGTAAAGCGAGTAGCAGAGACGTGGAAGCATAACAGTATGGGACAGCTATGCATTTTGCCTTGCTGCTAAAATACGTAAAAAACGTATTTGGTCAAGTCGACTTTGCATATCATTACAGGCTTGCACGTAATGTTGATAGCTATTTTAATTACAGTAAAACCTTGGATTGCGAGTAACTTGGTCTGCGAGTGTTTTTTAAGACGAGCAAAAATTAAGTAAATATTAATTTGATAAACGAGCGAGGTCTTGCAATACGAGTAGTACGTGTATACGCTTTGTCTGCCGAGCGTCACGTGATCACAACTGATATACGAGTGCTTTGATATTCGAGTGCTCTGGATTACAAACACGTTTCCGGAACGAATTATGCTCGCAATCCAAGGTTTTTACTGTACCTGTTCAGCTGGATAACGCGAAACAATGCCTTTTTTACAAGGAGCGTGTGTTTTGTGTGTGTGTTTTCTGTCAGCAGACCGGACATTCCCGTGCGCATTCTGGTTCCTGCCCAGTTTCTGGGAGCCGTTTTTGGGAAGGAAGGTGCCACCATCAAGAAAATCACGCAGGAGTCGCGCTCAAAGTTTGTACCTTCGTCTAAAGTTTTACCCGCCCTTCCTGCTGCTTTTGGCATATTCCGTGCAGTGTTTTATAATCCATGGTGTTCTGTGCTGCTAAACATGGATTTAAAGACACTTTGGACATTAACCTTCCTCGGCACATGAATTTGTGTAGTTTAATAAGAGTGCATATTTACCAAAGTCGCTCGTTGCAATGGAGACTTTTCTCCCCGGTCTCTCTCGCCTGGTGAAATAGTTTGACGATTAAAATAAATGAATGAAAGCTATTGTAATTAAGATTATGATTTATCCAGCAGAGCCTCACTTAGTCTCAACAGTATATTTTAGGAGACTCCTATATTTGGCAGTTTGGGCATTTCTATTTCAAGGAGCTCTTGGATGCAGGATAACAAAAACAGTGCAATACATAAGGGGCTGACACTCAATTGCCACACAGATGGGTTCACAGACCAATTTACTGTACTCCCGTCTGGCCAACCTGCAATCCAACAGGTTTGGGTGCATTTCAAAATGTGTGCGATTCATCTCACCCCCTCTCTCTCAAGCGCTGGATTGCAAGTGTGTGCCACTGCAGCTGGCTCACTGGCTGTAGAATCAATCGCTTGCTGTTAGAGCAATTTAAACTTGGCGTGGTTTGAGTGCAATAGGTTTAACCCAGGGTTTCCCAAATCCCCCCAGTCCTTGTAAGCCCACTGGTACCTTTTTCAGGATTGATTACATTTTCTGTAAAATTCTAAAGATTTTTTTGACACAATTCATCTGTTTCTTGAGGGTTGGTGAACGCACATACCTTGTGACAGATCACTGATTGAAATTGCTGCAAAGATATTGTGTGTCCAGTTTTAAATAAAATTACGTCCGTTAAATCACTATCTAAATTTCAGCCGGCAATTCTGTCCTATGTGCAGCATGTGCAAGGAATTTGAAAAGCCGCCGTTTAACCCATTGCGTCTCAGGATGGTGCCACGTCACGGTGCGCGACGTTGTAAACCGCCGACCGACACCAATGTGTGTGTGCCGCGCGTGTTCGAATGACGCAGAATCGACGTTCAGCGCAAGGAGTGGAGCGGCTCGGCGGAGAAGGTGGTCACCATCCACTCGAGCGAGGAGGGCTCCATCGAGGCGTGCCGCCTCATCCTGGACATCGTTCGCGACGAGGCCAAGAGCACCAACTTGTACGACTCGCTTGCGTTAAATTCGTATGGTTAGCATCCATCTCTGCTTTACCGCATGGATAAAAGGGGGTAACTGGCATGGATAAAAACAATAACCATATCCACCCCTTCTGATTCCACACCAATTCAGATGAGAGCAGTTTACATGTATAACCGTGATTTTTTAAAATGTATTTACATGTACAGCAGTTTTTTCAACGCAATGCCATCGTGGGGGTAGATGTGGAACGATAGAAGCATAATACAGTAATGGGTATTGTTGCATTGCTTCTGCTATGCACCCTGCAGCCCCGAAGCTATGATTGTTGGCCACCTATCCAAGTACTATGCAAGCTGTATCCTGCTTAGTTTTGAGATGTGGAGATTGTGTGCATTCCATATGATTTGGTCATCGGCGTGTCCTGTGCGTGTAAACATTAACACTTATTTGTACGTGTATCACAGTTCCGGAGAGATCCCTCTTAAGCTGTTGGTTCACAATGACTTTGTGGGTCGCATCATCGGCCGGGAGGGCCGCAACCTGAAACGGATCGAGCAGGAATCTGGAACGAAGATCACCATCTCCCGGTGAGATGGCGAACCTGAGGGGTGGATTGGCCGAAGCATATATGGCCTGTATGCACAGAGTTCGATATTGAAATTCAGTGAAGAGAAAGCAGCATTATCCATGATAGTCTACAAGGTAAGAAAAGGGTCCCTGATTTTGATAATGATTTAAAAAACTTTGACCTTTTTAACCTAAGCCAACAAAAGTGATAGAAAACTTTCACCCTGCTAATTTTCTGGGGTTTTAGAAATTTCAGAATTGTATTCCTATTTGCTCTTTTTTTAGGTTTGGAAACCATTTTGTGAAGTGCAGTCGGTTATCATCCATTCCTTTGTTTTTTCCGAAGCCCATTTGCTTTGCGGCAGACAGGAGTGTGTGAAGCCAGACACTTGTGGGGGGTGGAAATTAGCCATGCGGTATCAGACCTGATCTATTTTATACATTATTGCATCAATGTGTGTTTGAGAAATGGGATTATTCTGACTGCTCGTTCAGCTTTAGTCATGTTCAAATTCGGTTGGTTAAACGCAAGCAGATTTCTCTGTAAAACCCTCCAATCTTCGGCCGACATCAAGTCACATAAAACCGGTTTCTTCTGTCGTCATAACACGTTTACGCCTTGTTTCGCACTGGACGCAATGGCGCCGTTGGTTGTCGAAAAAGCGCGTGACGTTGCCTTTCTCTTCGCAGTCTGCAAGATCTGTCCATGTACAACCCGGAGCGGACCATCTCTCTGGACGGGAGCACGGAGCAGTGCATGAAGGCCGAAGCAGAAATCGTGAAGCAGGTCTGGGAGATGTGCGACCGGGACGCCGAGTCGGCTCAAGTGAGTAACGAGGTACAGGAATTGGTTTCCCCTCCTCCTGCGGTTTCTTACGAGTTGCGTGCCGAAGCTCGCGTGCAGACACTGCCGGTGCTGGGCTGGAACGCATCCACCAAGTTCAAAATTGTACCCTAAAGTTAAGTCGTAAAGTAGTAGCCGCCGCTCCAAATTCATAGTTCAATTGTTGACTGTCGTGTGACGAACGTTACTTTGTGGCAGGGTTCGGTTGTTAAGTGCTACCTCTATTGTGTGGATCAAAGGTAATTTGGTCTTCTTTGAGCCATTTTCTAACACACGGTGTTGCTCTGCACGAGTTCTGAATGGATGTATCATCTTTTGTGACATGGTGCCGATAGGACAATTAAAATATAAGTTCGATCAGAGGCAAAAAAAAAATTTGAATTGGTACATTGATACTGATGTAGGGGCATTAGGGGTAGATCCAGTTATTCTTATCAATATTGACTGTTTATCCATGTGATAAGGAATGGAGATATGGACAATAGAATAAATTAGCTGGTGCTTCCAGGTTACTTCTATTAACATCGCAAAGTCATAGAAAATAGTAAGAATCAACAACATCGTAGGATTTGTGCACACTGATTTGGTGGCATGGATAATAAGTAATGAGTACTAGATTAATGGATCAGAGGAGTTTGACTATATACACGGCACATTAAATAGAGATTGCTGTGCTGCAGCTGTCTGTCCAGTTATGTATTGCATTACGGATATGTATGCCTGCTGTGTGTGTGTACGTGCGTATGTGTATATAATTAAAATTGTTATATTTTAATTGTGTCGCAGATGGAGGCCAACTTCATTCCGGGTATGAACCTGGGCATGGTGGGGCTGTTTCCGCCTAGTGGCAGCATGCCCAACACCCCCAGGGTAAGCGTCTGCTAACTGCTGTATAGCAAAACCTCTACCGTGTCGTCTGCCTCCTCGGTTACAAACACATGCATCGCACGCACATGCGCACATGCATACAGCCGTATAATTATTTACAGCCCTTTGTCAATCCACTGCTGGATAAAAGGCTTCATCAACTCGTTGTATTGGTTTTGGGGCTGTTTGACCATACTTCACCACGTCGGGTATTGCAAATTGGTAAAGGACCAGGTTCAGATCTAATTCAGATATCACTCGCTAAATTATATTAATCGTGGTCAGTAGTCAAACTCAGGACACCAGGTTCACAGTGCAGTGTGCTTTCCAGTGTGCTACTACTCCATTCCAGAATGCTAATTCTTGTCCTCTTTTTTGAATACAAGATAGTGAAATATATTTAAACGAGTTAACATTTCTTGACTTTGCAGTGTCATTTAAGTACGAATTCTAAGGGGCGGACAGGCTGATTGGGAAGGTTTAACAATTCGCATATAAAATGTATTCTCTCTAAATGCATCTAAGCATGTAGATTGAGATGAATCCAGGTGATATGCATATTGTACATAGAGGCTAATGAAGTCAACAACACGGTAGAAGGTAGATTGAACAAGGAAGAAAAGACAGCACAAATGAGACAATAAATAACGATTGTTTCAATCGAAATGCAACCCAAGATCGTGACTCCACGGAACAGGCGGGGGGATGGGACTCGTAACATGCCTGGTGACGACAGTTATTTTAACACCAAGACCACAATGAATGATTTTTTTATACGTTGTAAATGTCGGATGCCCGCGCACACACGCACGTGGAGAGAATGAGCATGTTCTTTGCACCGTGAAAATCGTGAGTCCGAAACAAAGAAATCCCCGCATTCTCGCTCGCTCTTGGACGGAGCACGAATGGCCGTTTAAACTAGAAAGCACGAACAGCTGCAGGCAATGTGGCACAGCAGAAAAAACTTGCAACAGCTGTGGTCGGTCTCACTCGGGCTCCAGCTGCCTGGCGTGCTTTTTTGAGCAGCATGCCGTGAAAATTCTGCGCGCGTTGCATGTGCCCTGGGTGTTGTGTAATGTGCATGGGTGGCCTTGCACGCGTTCATGTGTGCACTGCCTTGCAAATCCCAGCGAGTCGCTTTGTGGTTTCAGAGCTATGCGCATTGGTGCTCGATGGCAGGTACCTCCTTGTGTTTCGATTTCACCTGAACCATAAGAGTTACCCGGTGTTATGTCGTCGACAACAATGCTGGTAGATTGTGTCTGCCGCGTTGGCCTGAATATGCGCTCGCCAACGGCGGTTTTTCCGGTTGTCCAACCAGACCATGGAGCTTTGGGGGGGGGGGGGGGGGGGCAAGGGCTGTGAGGTGGCCAGCAAGTCAGTGGCAGTCTAGCAAGTGGGTTTGTGAACCCATTTTTCCAGACATTTGAGTGTTTTGACCCATTTGGTCTTCTCTGGGAGTTGAAATTTCTTCTTGTATTTAGAACGCACTTCCATTAATTTGGCCAAACATCACAATGCAGGATTCTCATGATGATCTTGACAGTGCACAGTAATATCACCAACCTGCATTGACCAGGGTGGTGAAGTTGGTCCGATAACCCACGCAACTGACAACAGCATCGGCAGGCCTTCCAGCATGTGGATTGACAAAGGGCTGAATTTTTGTATTATAAATAAATGACATTAGCATACATTAGTTGCATGACGATGATGAAACTGGCGATTACTTTTTGTGGAAAAACACATTTTAAGTCGAGTAAAGTTGATGTTTTTTTTTTACCCGTGAGAACTTGAGAGACGAGGATTCATTTAATTTGCAAAAGTGACTTGGATCACCAAAATGACAAAAGTTAAACTTTATAAAGTAAAGCAATGAAGCGAGTAGAAATTAGGAGCAAAATAAAGTTTCGTGTGATTTAAGTCTTAAACATTGCACAAACATTCATGAATGTTAATTCACACATTCCGTGCAGCAAGTTGGCTCTTTTGCACATTATTTGTAATTAAACGGTGCAATAATAATTAAATTACAAAAACAGTAAGAGAAATGGAGTGAATTGTACTAATATGTGAATACAGGGATCTATTGGTTGAGTTTTAGAGCCAGCTGGCCAGGATTTGGCAAGGACATTGCCCACTTTTCACCCAAGGCATCTTGAGAGCACAAACTTAAACATTTCTTATCACTATAACAAACAATTACAGATATAAAAAAACGCACAATAAAAAAAGAATTAACAAATATACAATTCACAAGAATAAAAAAAATATTTCTTTCCAAGCACAACATCTTTAGAAATGATTCTCATACTGTTTGGGACACTTCCAATCTCAAAGCAGACAATTTAAAACACCAGTATAGCAAATGCACAGTGTGCATGTTTCTGTTTTGCACGTGCGCGTGTTGGTGCATGCAGGGCGAGCAGGAGACCGTGTTCCTGCTTATCCCGGCACAGGCGGTGGGCACCATGATTGGGCGGCAGGGCCAGCACATCCAGCAGCTGGCGCGCTTCGCCGGCGCCAACATCAAGGTGCGGTCGCCGGCGTTGTGGTTTCGTAGCACAGGATGACTCGGCCCTGATGTTCAGCGGGCCACAATAAAGTTGTGATGTGGCTGGCAGGCCACGTGACATCAAAAGTTCACAATTACAGATGTTGTGATGTCGTTTCGTGGTGTCTGGACATGTGACCAATCTTTTGAATCTTTTCTCCAGGTGGTTTTCTGTTATCTCTCTTTCAGCTAGTTATTGGTTATGTATGTATGTTGAATGTCTTCCCGCACCGTATGCAGCCAACCGTGCTAATCGGAGTTGCGGGGAAAAGACAATAAACTAAACACAAAAGCAGTGAGAAAGAAATGCGTTTTCATTGTCTCGATTGTCTACAGCTCCCCTCTCCAGCTTTTGTTTATCTTGCTTTCATATCGGCAATATGTATATATTTGCCTTGGCCAGACATATTTCTGTATGAGCTACTACCATTTAGAGTATTTGGCTGCTATAAATTTCCACATGATAAGCTACTTCGTTGAACTGTCATTTGTGACCAGGTTGCTTCTGAGAAAGAGATAATAGTTTGGTGGGTTTTACCTGGTAAGTAAAATTTAAAAAATACTTAAAAAATAGTATTGCACGGATTTGTAGAGCTGTGTTGTCGTCCTCAGATCGCCCCGGCCGAAACTCCAGAGAGCAAGGAAAGGATGGTCATCATCACAGGCCATGCCGAGGCTCAGTTCAAGGTGGGTTTTGAGCCGAGCATAAAAATAAATATCTCGTGCCTATAGCAGGATTGGTATTGAAATTTCACAACAAATCACGTTATATTCACGTCTTATTCAATACTTCGTTTGCCATTGGAATTTGCCATGGACCCCCCGTAAGAATGTTTTTTATGTGCGCATTATTGTTGACATTCTGGATGCTATATCATGCACGTTCATCAGCACAGAAGCCAGCCCTGAATACATGAAATGCTTGTTTTTAATGGGGACCCACTAATGCTGTAATCATCTGAGGCTTTTGGCTCTCTGCTGTCGCCCTTTGATAATAACCACGGGACCCCAAATAGTGAACCTCTGCTACAAACAGATAGTAACAAGCAGTGCTGGTACAAACCTGTGGTTCAGCACCGTGGAGGCCAAGGGTTTGTCAACCATGCAGATTTGTGAAATTTCCAGACCTTGCTGGACTGCCAGAGATGGAATTGTCGAAGTGGGTTGGTGAAACCCATCTGTGCGGACCTTGGACAAATATCCCCTCCTTTGCATGGCCAGATTTCTTCAGGACTTCTCTTTTTAAATCCTTTATATTAAGTTTGCTTGCTTGCTTACGACCGTACACATCTTTCGGTCGTTTTTTAACCCACTTCCCGTGATCCAATCAAGCTGACATTTTGCACACAGACTCGTTGTGCGTGACAATGTATTTTCGTGAATTTTTTTTCCAAAATTTTACACCTTTTAGGAAAAAAAATTATATTTAATTACCAATTGCTTAATGGTGGCAGACAATCATCTGACCCATAGCTGGCAGCCATCTCAAGCCAGAGGACGAGAGGACTCTAGCTGCCCATTTCAAAGACCAATGTGGGCTGGGTTGTGGCCCATTGAACACGCATTTAAAGGATTTATAAAGAAAAACTTTTTTTTCCGGGTTAATTTTTTTCCCACAATGAAGCAAAGCAATCTCGGGTGGAATTGGCCAAATGTACCCCGATGAGCACAGGATCCTCTTTGAAAATAAGTCCTGACTCTGTGAGGCTCCTCTCCTGGGCAAACAGTCATCCTGGACAGGCGAGTGAGTGACACGACGATTATTGCCGCCGTCGTCATTATTAACGACGCTCTTGCTGTCCATCGCCCGCGCAGGCTCAGGGCAGGATCTTCCGGAAGCTGAAGGAGGAGAACTTCGTGCCCCCACGAGAGGAAGTGAGGCTGGAGGTGCGCATCAAGGTGCCGACGGCAGCAGCCGGACGAGTCATCGGCCGAGGAGGGCGCACGGTGAGCTGGGGTGCAGGGGGTGGGGGGCACGTAGCATTTGGGGAGGTGGCACGGGGGGGGGCACATCCGACGCCGTTGGTGTGGTCAGGGCGGTGAGGTGGACGGCGAGGTTCACACCTCAGTTTTCACCAATGGGCCTCATTGGGTTGTCATTCCATTGTCTTGATTTCCTTGTCCCCTTCTAGTTTTCTCGATTTGTTTGACTGTTCCCCGGTCTCCTCCCCTTAAAGAACGCAGAGTGTGCGTTTTACTGCTTGTCCCCTCGTTGATGGCACAGGTGACCGAGCTGCAGAACCTGACGTGTGCCGAGGTGTTGGTGCCGCGAGACCAGACCCCGGATGAAGACGACTACATCTTCGTCAAGATTGTCGGGCACTTCTTCGCCAGCCAGGTGCGATGGCATCAGCCGTATGTCCACACTATTTGTGGCATCGTCGTGAGATTTTTTTAATGCGGTGACCGGCAAGGTGGAGCGCATTGACTGCTTGAACGTAAATGCCATATCTCAATACAACGCAGCCACCATTCGTAAAGACATGCACAGACCCACTAGCTGAGAAGAACATTTAATGTATGCCTTTGTACGAGATCTGATGCTTATCGTGCTAATTGAATGGTCTTTTTTAATTGTGCAAATGAAATGTGTTCTCTCTAGATGGCCCAGAGGAAGATCCGTGAGATCGTGGCTCGGCTGAAACAGAGGCCCAGTCCTCTTCGGCAAGGCAAGCAGCAGCAGCAGGAGCAAGATTAAAACCGGGGCCATGTCAGGGAGGGTGAGGAGTGGGGTTGAGAGTGGGAAGGGGGGGGGGGGAGGTTTTTCAGTGAGCAGAACCACAGGGATGGTTGGTTGGATTGTGGAGGCAGTCTTGTCAGCCAGCCCTATGATTCTCACCCACTCACACAACCACCTGTTTTCTGTATTCATACCTGGGTGGATGAAAGTGCCTTTTCATATTCCTCTCTTACTGATGTTAGAGAGATCCTCTCCCTGTTCCAAAACCTCCGACTCTCTCGGCTCCTTTGCTCCCCACAAAAAAAATGCATATCCCTTCTTCGGGATTAGTAATTGTTTTCATTTATTTTATTTGTATTGTATTCCTCTAACAAAAAAAGGAGAAAAAAAAGTGAATCCTCGGACCAGCGTGGCTCAGTCAGGAGTCGCCATGTGGCTTGAAGTTTGTTTCTAGGAACACCGAGCATGTTTACTGTGCTTTCTTCTCTCTCAAGTGTCTCCCACTGGGTTAGAGATCTCCAGCGCAAAGAGTGTTTTACCGAAAGCTCTCAAATAGTCTGCTCCCAACCACAGAGGTCAAAAAAACACTACGTGTTCCGAACAGTCTCTGCTACTCTCGTACACACTGTTGCCAAACGCTGGAAGAGGGAAGAGGGGGCTGGGGGGCGAGGGCGCACTTTGCTCACGCAGCTCTCTCACCGCAGCTTCGTGTGCCCCCCCCCCCCCCCCCTTGTCAGTGCGTCCTTCCTTCCTCACCGCTGTGTTGACCAAACGCAGCAGTTTCAGTCTGCGTGACAACGGTTCGACGTCAATTGTTGGCCGTGTTTGGTCCGTGTCATTTATTGAAACCAAAAAAAAGTATGCCGTTGGTCAGCGTCTAGAAAAGACATTTAAAAAAAACATTTCCACAGTGCAAGGCAATAAAAGAGTAGGAATTTTATTGTTGCTTTTGAGATTGCTTTTTTTGTAATTGACACGAGTTGGTATATTTTTTTTAATGCACAAACTGTGCTGAAAGGCAATTTGTAAACTAGCAAATTGGAACGTGTAACACTAAAGCAGGTGATTTTCGTTATGATTTTCTAGACGCCGGCCCACACTCTGTGTGCGCGCGTACGTGCGTGCACTTCTGTCTTCCTTCCAAGACTGTGACTTAGCAGCAGCAGCTACCTCATTCACTGGTACCTCATAACGTCTCATTGGAAACTGGGATTCTGTAAAACTCCATGGGGGCACGTGTTGCCCAGGCAGCTCACAGCCCGCTCGGGACGAGTCTGTGCGGTTTTTTTTCTTCCCTTCCCCTGTTGCAGTCAAAACAAGAAACCTCTAAAAAAGAACACCTCAAACCGGGAAACCTCAACAATATCCGCCCCCTTTATAATGGCATCGCAAGTTTATCACCAAGTTCACATTAACCATGCGCTCACTGGCTTTGCAGAGAACTTCAAATCGTATGCTGCGCCCACTGTCCCTTTTTTGTAGCGAACGACGACGCGTGTCTGCGTACGGTTTAAAGCGTCATCTCAAAATCCTGTATTTTGTTGCCGCAAGAAATTAATCTGGCAGCTGTTGCGCCACAACTGTTTACTACTACACGCAGTAGCGTATCTGCTCGGGGATGGGGTGGCGCGTGTGACGGAGGTGATGCACGGTTAATATGAAGTTGAGTTAGTGAAGCGCTGTGTTTTTCATGGTGGCTGATGTTACGGCATTGGGAGCAGAAAGAACGGAATTTGTTTTGGTGCTGTTTTCCCCTAAAGGCGCACTGCTTAGAATATCGCTCGAATGTGCGTCGACTTGACGGTAAATGCTCGTTTTGAAGGCACTTATTATTTTTACCCTTGGTTATTGTTTTTTTAATTGTTGGTATTGTTTCTATTATTATTTTACAGTTAATGGTAATTGCTGCATTGTATGAAATGGTGCTAATGGTGGAAGCTGCACGTGTAAGTTGTAGCGTAGTTTTGAACTTCGAAAGGGCCTACATTGACACCGCACTGGAGGCGCCGACTTCCTAATTTCTTTTGGATAATTGATGCACACAAATTTACAGCAAACACCTTCAACGTGACACAAATGAAATGTTGGTGAATTAGATTTTTTGTTTTCATCAAAAAGTATATGCAAATGAAAAAAAAAATACATGAAAATGCATTGTACGGTAACCAAGCGGCCTTAAATCCTTAAAAGAAACCTTGAAATCATTCCAGCAGGTTAAGTGGCGCGGATGAATTTTTCTTCACGCATGTCCAGTGGCCAATGCCAGCCAGCGGCGTGGCTGCGTGCAACCCGGTCTTGGAACAAACCGTGTGGAATGAACAAATGAATTGTAAGAATATAGCACAGGTTCGTTTTAGCCGCCGGTGACCCCCCCCCCCTTCCCCCAAGCCTGGTGGATGAGCGTGGCGTTGAAAATTATTCCCTGCGGAGTGTTTTAGCAGAGTCTCGTCACAGAGCAACGCGTTATGTGCAAACATTGTCCTTTGCATCCATTGTGTGGCTTCTCAAAATATCCGTATCTCTCGGTTCCACTTGGACTCGCTAACACCACCCAAGTGTTCTCAACAAACTTGTTTTCTCCCGGTCACATTCACGAGTCTGGCTACAGTGGTGTGCCTTTCGGTATGCAAGAGAAGCCCCCCCCCCACCCCCCCTGATTGCACCGTTGCTTTGACTTGGGCTGAAGCCAAGGGACTGGGTTGTGGGATTTTGCGAGCTCCGTTGGGAATTCTTTTTTTGACGATGGAACCGTGGGGAAAGTGGGTTTTGCGGTCGCCGAGGCTCGCATCCAAGACCAGGGTCGCGTTTGGAAAATTTTCAGGCAGCCAGCCACCTCGTATGCCAATTTGGTTACATGGCTGTATTCAAGATTGAATAAACATTTTCTTGGACACTTCTGGTTTACTTGAGCATTTTGTTCCAGTACGCGTTTTCTGTAATCGACAGAAGTGGTGGTGGTGTTGGCGTAATGTGCTTTGTAGCTGGTGAGTTGGTGTTATATAAAGTATGGTCATAAAGCAGACACACCGATTCAAAAACATAATTACATCTCCATAACTGTTAAGAACAGTAACATTTCAGATATTTTACTCTGATCCTAAATGCATGCTTATTGCGTAATGAGTGCATAAAGCATACGATTCTACAAATTACTAAGCTTTTTGTGTTCTGCAACCTTTTAAACAACCAACTCGCACTTTAAAAAAATTGTATGAATGTGCTCACCTAACTAGTTAACCAAAGATCACTGGCGTTTGGAAAAGGTTTTTTTTTAATTATTTTCCACAATATCAAAGCAGTGTCACGGGGTAAATGAACGCTTCGTCCGTACCGGCTTAAAAAGTTTGGTCCAGGGTGGTAGAACTGGTCCGGACAGGTTTGCCACTGATACAATTATCAGCAAACTATTGTCAGAGGTGTCGATCAGGCCTGATTAAGCCAAGTGGAGGGGGTGGGGGGTGTAGTTAAAATCATCAGTTGGTAACAGGTGACCCATATTTCACAATGAGACCGATGAGCCAATGGCAAGGACCGGGCGGGGGTCTCGGATATATAAAAGGCTGAGCCGGAACGGCGAATTCGTGGGACGCGGAGGCGTTCCAATTGCAAAAGAGTGCTGTAACAGGATATAATGAATGTTCGACAGAATTAATACAATGTTCCTGCGGAGGGAAGCCAAACCACATCGATGGGCGGGGCTAACAGCTACATTTTTCACCATATTGATCGAACTTTGTATCGCCCAAAATTGGTCGAATCCCTTTCCGGTGTTTCTTATTTGGGAAAAAACACGTAATTAAGGTCCTGCTGCAGGGCTCGTGATCAGGGGATATCCAGTCGGGAGGACTGAGGCATCGGGGATGTGGAAGGGCACGGCCCAGGAGCCCCGCGTGCCCGACTTGGCGTGCCCTCTTTACTCACAGCGGGCTGGAAGGGGGCCTTGCCAAGCCGCGTGTGCGACTTGAGAGCTGCGGGCACACGAGCGGGATTGTTGTGTGCGGGGCGGTGTGTCAGCGAGCACGGGAACGGTAGCAAGACGTGAACTCCCTCGCCCGGTATGCAGGAGGTTGTGGGTTCGATCCCGAACCATGACGCTTGTATATTTGGAGTTTGCATGTTCTCCCCGTGGAGAACATGATTTTTTCCCCAGGTCCTCTGGGTTTTTCCTCCAGATTTAGAGACACGCGTTTCGAGTATTGGGCTGACTTACATTTCCACGTGATAAGCCACTTCGTTGAGATTTCTTTTGTGGCCAGGTCGCTTCTGAAAACGAGCAATATAGCTGAGGGTGCCTTACCCAGTAAAGCAAACAAGTAAAAGAAATACTTTGAACAGAGTGGAGGGCGGGCGGTCACACACGAGGCGGTGTGGAACTGCGCGTGTGTGATCGCGTCTGAACTGGGTTACAACAACAGCCACAGTTATATTTTGATTTAAAGCTTACGTGACTGCAGGGATTCATATTCTTGGTTCTTTCGGTAAACATTTACACTATGAGACCTCCTTTACCAGTGGCAAAATATAGTAGTAGGTTTTTACCCTTTGAACTGGTACAAAAACTGACACCTTTATACAAGGCATCATGTTTGCAATAACCACAACACAAGCAGTCAAAATGCAAACAAAAATAAACAACTCTGATAATGATATGCACTGTTCTTGAAGTTGATTGGTCCACACCCGAGACAGCTTTTCTTAGAGCCATTGGTGTTGGACCAGATGACGCCAAAAGGCGTACAACTCTTTTTGTTTGGATTTTGACTGCTTGTGTTGTGGTTATTGCAAACATGATGGATTGTATAAAGGTGCTAGTTTTTGTACCAGTTTAAAGGGTAAAAACCTACTACTATATTTTGGGTGGTGGAGGGTTACGACACATTTATAAATAACGCGATCTAACCCAAAAACATTATTATGAACCGTATGTTGAACCTCTTTAGCACCGCACGTAGCGAACCGCGCGAATCGGAGGTTTCGGGGGGGAAGGACAGCAAACGAAAACAAACGAAAGTTTCACCAGCCCCGCCGATGGGCCCTTCTGCACTGACGACTACCTCTCCCGTGTGGTGCAGCGGTAAGCGCCTTCTCTCTGCGTATCCCGTTGTGCCCAGGGGGAGGAGGGGGGGCTCTGGCCTGTGGTGCTGCGGTGCAAGTTACGCCGCGTGCACGCTCGATAGCAACGTCACCTCTGGCCTGGTGGCTTTGATTGTTGTGTGCGTACGGCGCGAGCACGCGAAGTCGTCCAGCTTGGCGCCCTCTTACACGCGCAGAGTGTCGACCGGGGTCTTGTTTTGATTCGTCTTCTTCTTCTTGTCAAGGACAGCTCTCAAGCCTTTCCATCCGACTGTCAACATCGCAGGCGCCGTTCTATTATCGTGCTTGTAGTGTGCGCTGTCGTGGGTCTTGTGAACTTTAAACTTTGCACAGGTAATTAATTCGTTAATAATTGTCTTCTAGATTTGAAGTTTTCGTGACTGCAAGGATTCATACTCTTTGGTTTTTTCGGGAAAGTCACGGAAGCTTGTGTTGCCTCCGAAACGTCGTGATTTAATTTAGTTGTTTTTCATTTCTTTATTTTTTACCTACGTGACTTTACCGAAAAAACCAAAGAGTAATTATCTTCTTGCGTGTGGAAATATGTCGAGGTCTGCCAGCCACGAGAAGGCTTCAGCTGAGAGTTGGTGTAGTGATATTCCCCAGTGAATGAGCGCAGGCTTCAGTGGATCACTCTCCGGTACATCGCTACATGGCTACACTTGCACTGCGGTGGCTTGTCTTTAACTTTCCATTCATGAAGGAGGTGTGTGCATCGGCCTGTTGATGTTCTGATGCGGTCGCTGGTTACACGACTGGTGTCTTCGAGGAAAGTCAAAGCCAGAAGGTCGCGATGTTTAGGTCTCGAATGAGGAGGTGTTTATTCTGGACGTTCACGTTGTTCCACTTTGAGTCATCAGCATTCTTCCGGATCTGGGTGAGATTCTAGGATGGCGACAGCGCGGTCCAGGATCAGGACTTGATGAATGGGTTGATGGTTCAAGTTCAAGTTCATTTATTAGGTATAGCCCTGTGAGCCATTCGGCTCTTGACTCGGGTGCTACGTACGGTGCAACAGAAGTTCAACATACACACAATTTGGCAGTTTGGCAAACGGATGACTGAATCCATCTTCTCAGGTTTTCTCCGGATTCTCCAGTTTCCTCCCCGCAAGGCCCACGACGAAATACTCTGTGGTTTCGTTCGTGAGTTTATTCCGATCATGCTATCGATGTCACGCGATGGAGTTTCCGATCGGAAATTTCAACCGAGCAGTGGTGTATAACGCCGACGACGACGATAATGCGTAATGCTACCCACGACATCTGTTCACCAGAGACACCAGCATCGAGGGAGTGAATTACATGCGAGTGCCTGACATCGTGGGACTTTTCAGCTCCTTCTCCAGCTACCAGGAGATGAAGAAGCGCCACCCCGAGTGCGCGAGAGCCTTCGACGAGATGATAGCGCAGAGGTGAGCAGACACGGGGAGTTCCGCGGGGATTGATAGGGCAGGCGTCCGACCCTAGCGCTTTGGAAACAAGGGTTGACAGATCACGTCCTCCCAAACCCTGTGGTCTGCAAGGTGGCCAGAATGTTCTAGATTGAAAACTCATTTCTCTAGAACAGTTTTTTGTGTTTAGTTTGTTGTCCCCCCCCCCCGCACACACCACCGATTAGCACGGTTGGCTATGTACGGTGCAACAGAAGTTCAACATGCACGCAATTTGGCAGTTCGGCAAACGGATGACTAAATCCATCTCCTCGGGTTTTTCTCAGTTTTCTCCCCGCAAGGCTCACGACGAAATACTCTGATTGTGGTTTTGTTCGTGAGTTTATTCCGATCATGCTATCGATGTCACACTATGGAGTTTCCGATCAGAAATTTCCACCGAGCAGTTCATCACCCCCCCCCCCCCATGTCAGAGAAAGGGCCACGGAAGCAGATTTTACAGAACTACTTCCGAGATCCCTTCCAGCGACCCTTTTGTTATCTACGTAGTAGGTTGCTCACCTTCCCACATGCCCTCCTACAAGAATACATATTTGTTACATGGCAATACGTGTTTACTTTTGCCCTTTAGAGATGGTGTTTCTTTAGAAAATTTTGTGAGAAATCAGAAATTTCACGCGATGGTTTTTTGAGCAGGCGTTGGTGATTGGGCGCAGGCGATCAACTCGCGACATTTGAGAACCCGGTTTAATCACAACTCAGTCTATGCAAGTCTGTAGGTAGCTGTTTAAGTCTGCAGGTCTCTACGTAAGCCACTGATCACTGGATTGAGATCATACGTTTAGTATACAACACACCCTAGGTTAGTCACTGGTGGCTGAAACCTGGGGTCAGTTCCCTGACCCGTAAGTCGACTGGTCACCTCTGGTACTGTCCGTTGTGCTTGCGTCTTTGTATTCATTATACGCCATCCCAGTCAGTCAACCCATGGCACCTGGGTCTCTGTCCAGTGATTTCCTGCCAGCGGGCGTTCGACACTTCACGTGGCCCTAAAGTGCACCTGGCCTGGCACAAGCGCCCTGGTGACGTTACCGCCACTTAGTGGCAAATGACAGTTGTAGTTGTTGCATATACGTTCGCGATTTTATGGGGCTTTTCTGGGGCCTGCGGTAGCAAAGTGGAGGGGGGTCAGACATTTGTGGCGATGTGTGACGAGGGGGGGTGGGTTTGAGAAATGTGACGTCACATCAAAATGCGCAACTTTATATAAATATAGACAACACGTTTTACTTAATTAAATCGACTTTTTAATAGTTGTTTTCTCCTACATCACAGTGCAGCGCCACATTAAATACGCACTACAATGACAATAGTTTAAAGCGATTTGAAGCATGTTTTATTTGGGG